GAAGACCTGATCTCCTTCCCAGAACATTAATTGTTGGTGCAAGGTTGATGGCACACATCGAGAGGCATGAATCCAGTCTCTTCCCAGCAAGAGAGAATATGTAGTATCTGCGTCCACAATAAAGAAAACAGTGGAGATCTTCTTTGGTCCGACTTCAATTGTGGCAACCATCATGCCTTCAGGCTTGGTCGGCTGCCCTGTAAAACTTGTCATTTCGAATTCCACAGGAGATAGATCATGTATTCCTTTTCCTAACTTCTTGAGAGTCTTCAATGGCATAACATTAAAAACTGCTCCATTATCCACGAAAACCTTTGTGATTGGTTTCCCACAAATATGAGCATTAACATACAGAGGCTTCAAATGGGAGATCGCACCCTCTGGAATAGGAGGAAACACAATCGAAGGTGGCTCCGGTTGAGGCTCAGAGTCTGAGGTCTTTGCCCCCTCTGTCTCCTCTAATTCACCATCTGCCAAGAAAGCCCATAAAGGTTCGTCCATAGTTTCATCTACCAGACTCGCCCACGTCGGTTCATCACTCATCTGATTAATCTCTGTCATTCGACAAGGGATTCGTGGTCCCAGACGAGATTTAACAGATCTTGAACTTTCCCCTGTAGTTACTACTTCTTCCTTTGTCTTATCCCGAGATCGAGATTGAACCGTCAAAGATTCGATACGGAACTCTTCAAGAGATGGATTGATGTTGATTCGTTCACAATGTTGGCATCTAAAACCTTTAATTATTTCATCTGCCACACCTTTACCTTTCCCCTGTCCCGACGAACTTCTTTTGGAATGGTCGGAAGCGCCTAATCCGTCATTCGGTTGCTTTCCTGACCAGACCCGACTGGACCGACCAACTGGAGACTGAATGGTTACTCCCTGCTCGTTGGTCGTTTGTTCTGTAAAGATCCGAATGGACTGATCTCCTGCCAAGTGGTCGGCTGCTTTTTGTTCGTCGGTTAGTTGTTTTGCTGAAGGACCTCTTTTCCCATACTTTGCAGCATACCTGCGTTTGGCATTGCGAATCTGTGTACGATTCATACCCGGGAAACGAGGGTCTATATCAACTGGTAAAGGCTTTTTATTTCGAGCCCAATTGCTCCCGACCGACCCCGTTTTTCTGGTCGGGTGATCACGTATCAAAACCTTTTCTTTCACCTCCACATTAAAAGAACCATCTGGATGGTCCCACTTTTCAGCAACTGGCTTCTCACAAATTTTGAGTCGTTCTTCCGGTCGGCTGCTGTTTGGCCGACTTCCTTTTTTTGTTTCGGGGCTTGGCTGGTTTCGTTCCCCTTTTTGTCCATCGTTGGCCGAACTTTTCCTTGTTTCCGAACTTGGTTGGATGTCAACCATTGCCGTTGTTACATTCGGAAACGGTTGCTGGTCTACACCTAGAGTGATGTATTTGAGCCGACCTGTCTTGATGCCCTTTTGAATTTCCTTCCTAAAATGAGTACACTGACTTGTAGTGTGTGTGAAAGAATTATGCCACTTACAATATGGTCTCCCTTTGATTTCTTCTTTAGTGGCAAGTCTTTGGCCCTTTGGAATACGGATCTGCCCATCAGTCAGTAGGATATCAAAGATTTCATCAGCTTTCGAACTATCAAAGGTCGGTTGCTCCTTTCCTTCAGATCCTGGTACTGGCTTCAATTTAGGACATACATACGGTTTTCCAGAAAGGATTTCGGCTGCCATCTCTTCTGACTGATTAAAATCAAAGTCGCATGTTTCTGTTCCCATACTCGCCATATGTTGGCCTCTATTACGCCTGTTATGCTGATCTTCCTCTCTGAACAAAGACTCTAGACGTCCTGCCTTGGATGCAAGACTTGCCAAATCCTCAACATCCAGGGCAGTGAGTGCCTTTCTTAAACGATTATGCATATTCCGGACCACTAAATTGGTCATCTCTTTCTCACTGATTACCGTAGGACATCGTCCCTTCATCAATCGCACCCTTTCTATAAACTGTGAAGCAGTTTCTTCTGGATACTGTCTCAATTCAAGTAAATCAGTTAAAGAAACAACTGGTAAAGGATTAAAGAATCTAGCGTGAAATGCCATCTCCAGTCCTTCCCATGTCTGAATTTGTCCTGGAGGCAAACTTACAAACCACGAAAACGCCGTTCTAGTAAGAGATAAACCAAACAGCTGTAACTTATAAAAAGGGTTATTGCCAACTTCTCCTAATTGTGTTGTGAACCGACCAACATGTTCTATGGTGGAAGATCCGTCCTCCCCTGAGAATGCATGAAAGTCGGGTGGTCGAAAATTCCTTGGGAGAGGGTGTTCATTAATGATCCTTTCTGGGAAAGGTCTCTGATATGCAGGGCGGTTAGCCATCTGAGGAGTTAATCCATACTGATCCCTTAATATATGTGCAATCTCGTCAGGATCTACATGAAAGCGTTGATGATCAGGCACATGAAACGGATCCTGCACAGGAATATGAATAGGATCATGTATATATCCTTCAGGCCTGTCCTCCCTTGTATTGCTCGGCTGCGGATTGGTAACCCTTGGTCCCAGTGGAACATTGTTGGGAAAAGTCAAAGGAGATTTTCCCCTATCCATTCGGTTGGGATTTGTGGCACTTGGGAATGTACTATCCACGAATGATGGCCCTGCGAAATTTGCCTGTGGTCTGGACGGTGACACTCCTGGTGGCGTTTGAGTGGGTTGAAGACTAACCCTTGACAGTGCTTGATCTATCATGTTCTGCAACTGACTCTGTTGCTCACGCAACATGTTCGTTTGTTGCTCACGCAACATATTCTGCATAACCAAGGTATGCTGGTTGTTCATTTGTTGAACATAAGACCACCAATCAGTTGGTGGTTGTGGGATTTCCCCGGCATTTGGCACAATGGGTGGTGGAACGGATTCTCCCACCGGTGTCGAAGATGCTTGCGGTTGTGAACCTGCCATAACCCTTCCGATGATTCGGCCGGATCTAAGACGTATGAAATTATCGCCGGAATTGGAATGAGCAATTTTGTCTTGCTCCCACTGTGGTCGCCAATTTGTTGATGTAATTTTTCAACAAAAATAAAGTAAAATTCAAAGATATAGAAAATATCCTTAAACTTGATTAATTAGTGCCTGAGATTAGGAATCTCTAAACACTGTACGGTACATAAAATAAACTGGAAAATAAAAGACTGAAATTTAAAGTGGTGATCCCCAAATCTGACTTTGCTTTGTTGAAGTTGATTGAAGATGCCTTGCCAAATGATGATCCAAATCCTTAAATATTCCCTGGGAAACCGTACTGAAAACCGTCACCCGAACGGTTACAACGTCTCCTTCTCAACCGTCTTCCAACCTTTCTCATGCTGACACGTGTCCCCAGCAGACCAAAATTCCCTATATTTCACTCCTTGAGCCGACCACAGACCTTCCGCTCTTTTGGCCCGACTTCGTCCTTCGTCCGACCTACTTCTTCGCCCGACCCCACTTGGGCCGACCTCCATATCAACCGCCCCCTGTCTTTGATCAAAGGCCTCCGCGTTTGTCCGACTCCGCCTTCTATCCGACCTACAGTTTACCCGACCTGCGGATATCCCATCTCGACGACTTTCCGTCTCGAGGACCTCCCGACTTGAAAACCTTCCGACTCATCGTCTTTCCGTCTTGCGGACCTCCCGACCTGAAGACCTTTCGACTTGAGGTCTTTCCGTCTTGCGGACCTCCCGACCTGAAGACCTTCCGACTTGAGGTCTTTCCATCTTGCGGACCTCCCGACCTGAAGACCTTCCGACTTGAGGTCTTTCCGTCTTGCGGACCTCCCGACCTGAAAACCTTCCGACTTGAGGTCTTTCCGTCTTGAGGGCCTCCCGACCTGAAGACCTTCCGACCTGAGGTCTTTCCGTCCTGAGGACCTACCGACCTGAGGTCCTTCCGTCCTGAGGACCTACCGACCTGAGAACCTTCCGTCCTGAGGACCTACCGACCTAAGAACCTTCCGTCCTGAGGTCTTTCCGTCCTGAGGACCTACCGACCTAAGAACCTTCCGTCCTGAGGTCTTTCCGTCCTGAGGACCTACCGACTTGAGAACCTTCGGACCTGTATTTTCCTTAGCAATAAATAAATAAATTTATTTTCCTTGATTTCCTCACGGTGTCCTTCAGCCAGTTCAATCAACCCTATTGCCAGGCCCATTCTTCTTTTTACCTTGGGCTTTTAACCTAATTCTAAATTTCGTACGTAACAGTAGTACAATTACTAGATTAGAAAATGGTAAACTTATTTTGGAACGAAAGAAAATGAAAAATGGTAACAGACGGAGAGAGTATATGCTATATTGAATTTAAAAAAAAATACATTCATGACCATAATATCATTAATTCAAACTCTAATACCTTCAAATTTTGGGATACAAACTAGAGTGTCTCATTGCAAAAATTTGAAAAAAAATTTAAAGTTTAACATGAATTTCACTGGTATGAAATCTTTGAAAGGAAGTTCAAAAACAAATTTGTGTCAACTCGGCCGATAGTATCGTATTGAATTTGTTAAGGAAATAGAGTTTTTGAAGTGCCTGAGTAGGTGAACTGGAGGCAAAAACTAAAATAAAATACACGGACACAATAATTTAGAATAATAAAAAAAAATCATTAATGCTAGATTATATATGTATTTGGTTTGTGTTGATATTGTATTTGTATTATAATTTTATTTTTTTTAATGTATATTTGTTTAAAAGTTATTAGAATCATGTAATAAAGAAATTAAAAAATATATATATCTCAAATGAATAGATCATAGATAAAATAAAAATTAAAAGTCAACTAATTGATCTAAAATAAAATCTACCCGATATTGTATCAAGCAACAATCTTATTTATTTATTTTATAAATTTTATAATAAGAATAAAAAAATAAAATAAAATAGAAAAAACATATAGATAGACATACACATAATTATTATGGAAATAAAGTGATCGGAATTTTGACAATAATAGCAAAAAAAGAAGTACTTTTTAGCGTATGATGATGATTGAAGAAAAAGGGGCAACAGATAGATGAATGAATGAATTAATGGAGGGTGGAGCGAATCCCGCAGCTGCTGCGAAGTAAACGAGGCGAAAGGGACGTTCCATCCCTTTTCCAACCCCACGGAGAAGGAGGAGGAATCGAATCTCCCTTCCCTCCCATTCGTCACCTCTTTCTTCTTTCGTCTTGTCAAATCCCTAATAAGAACCCGGAGAGGATTCCCCCTCTCTTCGGTTCATCATTTCAGGTCCCCAAACGGTTTTGATTGATTTCTCCCAACATTCTTCAAGTGGATAAAGAAAAAACTCAGAATAATTGCCTTGAATTTCGAGGTTGGAGAATTTAATTTTGTTTACTGCCTGTGGGGTTTCTTGGTAGTGAGATTTTAGGTTTTTGATTGATTTTTTGTGTTCTTGAGGAGTTTTGCTTGTGGCTTGGGGTGCTCTAGTCTATGAAGTTCATTAATTTTGGTTTTGGAGTATTGGGGAATTCTGTGAGCATTCGTTTTGTTGGTTTGGTCGATCCTATTTCTCGTAGGTTGCTGTTCCATTAAAATTCATTCTAGTTTTTGCCTCAGTTGGATTATAGGGATTTTGCTTTCCTGTTTGGTTATGTCGGAAGGATTTTGTTGAATTTATTGAATTGGTTTTGTGGAAACCTTTTAGGTTGTGATTTTGGAGGTTTTAGGGTTCAACATATACTCAATCTGGTTTGCATTGTAGTCACTTGTGAATTCTTCTTCTTTTTTCCTAGCAGAGCAAGGCGTAGGTCGATTTCATTTTCGATTTAATTGCATCGACTACTCTGAATCGATTCGAAATTTGTACTTCTTCATGTGTTGTGAATTAGGATCAAGTAGCACATTCACATTGTATCTTTGGCTCGTTCATATTCATTATTTCTTCAAAGAAGTGCCAAGAAACAAATGAAAGAATTAAATAAATGCTTTTCTTACATTTTTAGGTGTGAAAGATTATGGCTTTGTTTAGACAATGACTTTTGAAGAGATTTGGAATTTTGGAAGTAGTAAAAAGTTAGTAATTGATGTGAAGTTTTGTATGAAAAAATATATTTGATGTGATGTTTTTGAAAATTTGATTATTGCTACAATCCAAGTGTTGTTGTGTTTATACCTTGTAATGTTTATATGCCGTTGATTTAGAAAGTTGCAAATGTGTATAATGTAAGTGTTTGTATATATGCATAGTTAATAGTTTCGTCAATATGCTTTGTATGTGTGAATTTTGGAGAGGAAAAAGTAGTGTTAAGTGATTACATGTTCTAGAGATATTTTGATTTTGTGTTTGTGTGTTTCGTGGTAAGAAAGGTTAAGAATGTGCCAAATATACTGATGATTTTGACGATTACATGAAAATCTCTAATTTAACGGTGCTGCTTATATTTACTTGTGATCTGTACAGCTATACTGTGGTTTGGATCCACTTTCATGAATGAACTAAAAGGCAATGGAAGACGATATATTTTCCGGCATCGCCAATACTTCAGGGGTTGAAAGCAAGGTTCTTCAGACATTCCAGAAAAACTTCGTGCAGGTCCAAACCATATTAGATCAGAACAGACTGTTAATCAACGAGATCAACCAGAATCACGAGTCAAAGATCCCCGACAACTTGACTCGAAATGTGGGCTTGATTAAAGAGCTGAACAACAACATCAGAAGGGTGGTCCACATCTATACCGATCTCTCAAGCAATTTTTCCAAATCGATGGAGGCTTCCTCTGAAGGCGAGTCGGCTGGGACAACGAAATCCGATGGGAGAGGTGGACAGAAGAGGGGTAGGTCTTAATAAGGGCCGGCAGGTATGACGAATCTGAGTAGTCTTTGCTATGGGATTTGGCTGAACTATACTCGACAATGAGTGTCTTCTTGCATAGTGGGATGGATCGATTTTCCTTAGACGTTTTAATTGCATGACATTCTTGATCGAGTTACATGCTTTGATTCCTTTGTTGCTTCTACATGGAACTGTGCCGATACTGATTCTTGCACCTGCTATGTTTTTAGCTTGATGAATAAAGCAGTAGAAGTTCACAAATGTTCACTAAAGAAATGTGCGTTTATACATAGCTTGACATTGCGCGGAATTTATATACATAGACGATTTATTGTTCTTTCAAAATACAGCAAACTGATCAAACCGAGCCGCAACTTGTAATTAGGCCTCGGAAAGTGAACAAGTTACTTATCTTCTAGCTGTTGAGTGTCGGGTACTCGTGATGCAGGACAATAGAATAGTCCTCATTATATATATCTATATATATAAATATATATATATATATGTATGTCTCTCGTTCTTCGTAGCAGTTCTGGTAGAGCAGGCAAAATTATACTTAACAGGGAAGTCGATGTTTGCTGTTTGAAGGCAAAAAATGACTGAAGAGAGTGCTTACCCGAACATCAATACCGGAGAATGCGAACTTGGAGGACATCATTTCCTAGGTTCTGTTGGTCTTCTCGGATTTGGACAGCCGAATCTTCGACAAGTTCGCTCCTGTATACATCAATGAATTTAAGAGTTGGAATGTCTCCGATTTCAAGAGGTATCTTCTGTAACCTACTGCACTCTTTGATTGTAAGGTGTTCGAGGCATGGAAAGTGTGCGCTGTCTGCAAGCCAGAACTCAATGTCTAAATGCTCCAGCAACAAGAATTTGAGGCTGAGGAACTGTCCTTCCAACGGTATCCATTCTTCTCCCACGAATGAATCCATTTCTAGTCTGAGTACTTGCAGGTTTGGCAAAGATCCCGCCACCGCCAGGTCTTCCCACGGCGCTCTACACCCTCGTAGAGACAATTTTCTAAGAGTCGTCGGGAAGGCGACGTGGTGAGGGATGTTCCCGCCTGCAGGACCGTCGCAGAGCGAAATTGGATCCAGGACATAGTCGAACCTGATCTTCAGCTCCTCGAGCACCTGCAATCGAACCAGATTGTGGAGGCAGAAGAACTCCCAAAGGCAACCCGGATTGTCTCTGGAACATACGATCTTCAGTTTTCGAAGGTTAGGAATCATCTGTATCGCATCGTCGGTGAATTTGAAGTCGAGGGTAGTCATTAGAGTTTGCAGAGATCCCAGTTTTTGCAGAGTGATGTCTTCAGCGCGGGGCAAGATCATCCTGTCGGCGATAAGATGCCTCAGCTGCGTCATCTTCCAAATCGTAAGGGGTAGTTCGACGATTCTGAATGTCTGGCTCGAATTAATAACTAATGTCTGAAGATTCTCGAGCGTGGATAGGGATTCAGGAATGCGATACAGCGTGCGACGATCCAGAACTGTGAATAACGATTCGCGAATGTAATTCTGCGTCCGGTGGCGTCGCTCTGTGCTGCACAGGCACTCGAGGTACTTTAGATGAAGCATTTCGAAGATTTTGTCGAGGTTCGACTCAGCTTCTATTCTCGATAGATCCAATACTTTGAAAAGCTTAAAGCTATTCCAGTCGATGCTCCGGAGGTCGGAGTAATACTTGTTGCTAAAGCAAAGAATGGATCGGACGAGGTTACCGGCATTGTGCAGACCGAGCTTTATGTTATGACCGGAATCCAGATTTATGCGCCGTATGTTTTCGACTCCGCTCGGATATAAATACCCGTTCTTCTGTGTAATGTGCAAGAAACGTTCGTGGAAGGCCCTCTGGCGACAGAATTCCCTCAATACGTCGTGAAGGATGCAATTCTTGAATTGCCCACTGGATCGCTTCTTGGTAATAAGAACGAGATTTCGAGCGACGAGATCCTCGACGCATTCCTCCCCGACTTTTTCCAAGCTTTTTGACTCGTCGGAATTCTTCAGAAGCCCTTCCGCGATCCATAACTTTACGAGTTTCGGTATGCTCATTTCGTAATCCTCGGGACAGCCTCCCATATACATATAACATGCTTTAAGTTGATGCGGTAGGTGATTATAACTGAGCGAGAGTATACCTCGTAATCGCTCGTCCTCAATTTCGCTCAAAGTCGCGTTCACCGCCGCTGCGATCTTCGTCCATTCGGGTAACGTCTTGTCTCGAGACAGAATTCCCGCCATCACGACAATGGCGAGGGGCAGCCCGCCGCATTTTCTTGCGATACATTTTCCCATATAGATGAGCTCTGGAGGACAAGGCTCTTTTCCGAACACCTTCTCTCGGAGTAAACTCCAACTCTGATCCTTATCGAGAAATCGCATCCGATGAAGAAACCCGGAAGTGCCGATATACTGCGCGATATCTAATAGTCGAGTTGTGACCATAATCCGACTTCCGTTACTATCTTCGGGGAACATCCGCCTCGCGTCGTCCCAAACTTTCTTACTCCAGACATCGTCCATTACGACAAGGTATCTCCGACCTTTCAAATGTTTGTATATTCTGTCCTTCAATTCCTCCGCCTCTTGCCATCGAAGCGATTCGTGGATCGGCATCGCCATCGATTTCATGATGCTATGATAAACTTGCGTCCGGTTGTAGTCTTGCGATACGGTAACCCAGCCGCGAATATCAAAACGGTACGATGAAAGCGCGTCTTCGAACGCGCTTTGGGCGAGAGTAGTCTTACCAATTCCGCCCATCCCAACTATACGAATGACGCGTAGTTGGGATGAGTGTCTGGACAATTGATCTTTTATTGTGGTCAGATAATCGTCGAATCCGACGACCGCTGTTCCGTCGACAGCTGGGGGCGCTTCCGAGCTGAAATAATAATCGCAGTTTGGCTTCAGCTTCGAGCATTCGACTCTCTGCCGTTCCTTGATCACCATAATCTCTTGCACAAGCAGATCTACTTCTCTCTGCAGTTTCTGTAAGTTTTCGACGTATCTGTCGCTGTCTGATTTTCTTAGGATTTCGATCTGATCCGAGATTGCGAATTCGATCACATCCTGAGCTCGATACGCCACATCTCTTATCCGGCCTTCGACGCGGTCGTTGTCTTTGTCGCCTCTCGATGAATAATCGTTTAGCGATTCTTGTAAGGATCTGAATTTTTCTCGGAGAGTGTTTGTGATCGGTTGCTCGCCGAGGAGGAAGTTCGGATATCGATCGTTATCGATTATGTCGTCTAGCAGCTCCATGAGCGAAGCAAGAGCAGCATAGTACGCCATGTCTGAAAAAGCTTCGATTCTTTGATTTTTGTTTTTTTTTTCAAATACAAAACACGAAGAAGAAGATTAAAAAGTCTGTAATTTACAAAGAAGGATCTGAGAAATTGCAATGACAGGTTTTGGTAAAGGGTAGGAAAATATTGAATTGGTTGTGGGGTAAGATGATCAATTATTGCACTATGGCATGAGTAGCTGAAGTAGTGTTGTCTCCACCCCTTTCTTTTTTTTTTAAAAGAACTTTTCTCTCAACACGTTTCTTTAAAATATACATCCAAGAGTTCGTCTTCTCTTACAATAAACTATAGGTCGTACAATCTTAAAAAAAGCAAAAAGAAGAAGAAAAAAGAAAAGAAAAGATGAACCAAGAGCCCAGTTGAAGTATAGAGAAGTATTGGAGTTAAATACGTAGACCATCTATTGGAGCGTTGATCGAAGATTTATTAGTACCATGCTGATTGCCCTGATCAGCACATGAAAATGCTATAGATAGTATATTAAAATATATGGACAATATATATTGTATAAAGTATTAGTATGTGCTGTCAATTCTATTTTATATGTGTATTGTAGATTTATGATAATATTATTCTGTAACCCCGCTCCGCCCCACCCCGCCCCGCCCCATCGATGTAGTTTTTGGAGTCATTGGATCACTACATTTTACTTTAACGTTTATATATATATATATATATGTTATATTTTCTTGAAGACTCAATCGAAAACATACTATTGAAAATACTGTCTTGGCTGTCCTAGAAGTAGATTCACCGAATTAGTATCCAAATTTTTGGGCCAATTATAGGCTTAGAGTTTTGATCAAATTTTATCTTGATTTGCAATAGGCTAGTATTTTATTTGATATTTGATATTTTCTTTTTTTTTTTTTCCTTAAATTTTAATAATAGCTCTACCATATCTTAATTTCCATGGAGCTCTACACCCTACTAGAGACAACTTTCTAGGACTAGGGAGAAAGTATCAAGAACAGAATCTTGATATGGAGTATGTTAGCTTTGCCTAATAACAAGGAAGCTATAAAGAATTTAATATACATCGAGCTTATAAATAGTTAACTATAGTTCCCAGCATCAAACAAGTAACTCTTATAATAAAATTTCTCTAGTTCCTGCCAATGAACGTAGGTCGACACACCGTCATCGAACTACGTAAAAAATTTTATTTATTTTTTTTGTTGTCTCGTAACACTTCATTTATATTTTTTCATCCTCAAATTCACTTTTTTCATTACTAATAACATTCTTGATCTAAAAGTTCACATAGCTAACATCAGCGTCCCTAATTTTCGTTACAAATGTGTTATTTTTTTTTAGTGGTTCCTCTAACATCAATCGCTAACAATGCGAACTCGAAGCGCGTCGTTTCCTATATCCCGCTGCTCTTCTCGGATTCGGACAGCTGAATCTTCTGCAAATTTACAAGCATACACCCCAAGAAATTCAATAGTTGGAATATCTCCGATTCCTCTAGGAATCTCCCTCAGTTCATTGCAGTCTACGATTGTAACTTGTAAGGCAGACAGCGGAATTGCCCTTCCATCGGCTTCCATTTCTTCCCCAAAAATGAAGATTTCAGTTTCAGCACTCGCAGACATGGCAGTGACCCCAATGCTACCGTTATCTGTTTCCATGGAGCTTTACATCCAACCAGAGACAGCTTTTTAAGGTTTTGTGGAAAGTCTAACCTGCGAGGAATATTCGAAATTTGAGGATGACAACAAAAGCATCTAAGAATGTTGATCACCAATTCCTCAAGATGCTCTAAACAGATCAGATTGTAGAGACAATTCGATTCCCATATGGCATCTGAGGGATTTCTGCAATGGTAGCCTGTCTTCAATTTCCTAAGACTAGGAATCATTTGAATGGCTTTTTTAGTGAATTTAAAACCTTGTGTCTTCATTAGAGTTCCTTGTTCTTGGAGAGGAATGTCGGCGTCAAATGGAACAGGAGGCAAGAGCATTCCATTGATCATAAGATGCCTCAGCTGTGTCATCTTCCATATTTCTCGAGGTACTTTTGTTGTGCTTCCGAATTTTAGTCTATCGTAAATGATCAAGGTTTGAAGATTTCGAAGAATCGATATGGATGGAGGAATGGAGTATTTGGTAATACCTTTCGCTAGACTCAGCTAAAAGTACTTCAAATGAAACATTTTAGGTATTTCAGCCGGAGTCGGCAGAGCATTCATTTTCGACAAATCCAATACTCTGAATAGCTTAAAGCTGTTCCATTCGATGTTGCGGAAATCTGACTGAAACTCATTGTTGAAGCAAAGAATGGATCGGAGAAGATTACCGGCGTTGTGCAGACTGAGCTTTTTGTTATGACTTGAATCTAGATTGATTCTTCGCAACGTTTTTAACACAACTTGGATGCAAATAGCCATTCGAATGCACAACGTGGAAGAAACGTTCGTGGAAAGCTCTCTGTCGACATAATTCCCTCAAGATATTGTGCAAGACACAATACTTGAATTTGCCTTTGGGTCGCTTCTTGGTTATAAGAGCAAGATTTCTTTAGACAAGATCTTCGACATATTCCTCCCCGACTTTTTCTAAGCATTTGGATTCGTCCGAAGACTTCAATAGTCCTTCGGCGATCCACAACTTAATGAGTTTTGGAATTGTTGATATGCTTTAAATCTAGTTTGTCACTTTGTTGAGTTTTCACGGGGGTCTCGTTGAGCCCGTCTGATGTAAATAGACTTAGGAATACAAAATCTATAACATGTAACCTTGCCGTCATGAATAAATCTGTTCTCTGTTCCTGCCTGTACCTGTAGATGTAGCCAACACGTTGTTGGTGAACCACATAAGTATGTGCCGTCTTTACGTTTTCTGTTTGTTATTCAATCATGAGCCCTACTCCGTCACAAAAGGAATACTCATTCGATAATCCTCTAGAAAACTTCCCATGTATAGAAATCATGCTTTTAATTGATGTTGTAGATGATTATAATGTCGAGATCTTCATCCATTCCGGTGGCGTCATGACCCTCGAAAGAATTCCGGAAATTGCAACAATGGCAAGCGGCAGCCCACCGCATTTTCTTGAAATGAACTTTCCGATAAGCATTAGTTCCGGAGGACAATGTTCTCGAGCAAACACCTTCTCGCGAAGTAAACTCCAACTTTGATCGTTGTCTAGAAACTCCATCTTATGAAAAAAGCCGTAATTCCCAACATAGTGAGAGACATCCATTAGTCGAGTCGCTACCATGATCCGACTTCCATTACAATCGCCGGGGAAGATCCACTTCATATCGTCCCAAACTTGCGCGCTCCACACATTTCAAATGTTTGTACATTTTCTCTGCCATTGCGCTCTCGTCTTCTCCTCTGAGTGTCGCATTTTTTGACTGATTTTAGGATTCTTTGACGAGCTCGAATCCATATAGTTACCAACCGCGAAGATCAAAGTGATGCGCGATAAGGCCATCGTCAAAAGCACTTCTTGCTAGAGTAGTCTTACCAATCCCGCCCATCCCAAAAATGGAAATGACTCAGAGTTGGCATGGATGTCGGCAGAGTTGATCTTTCATTGTCGGCAAATGCTCGTCAAATCCACCAACTTTTGTCGTGCCAACTGCTGCCGGTCCTTCAAATGCATCGTGTTACGGGGGATTAGGGTTAATTGTCTTATAACAAATATAAAGCATAGATAAGACACAGATTCACGTGATTTAGGAGATCGGAGAACAGATTTATTGAGGATGACAAAGTTACAGATTCCAGATTTTGTATCTCTAAGTCTTTTTAAGTAAATCAAGACAATACATAGACGAGCTCAACCTAATACCAACTCCAAAGTCCAATATTGCATACCGTCGGCCTGGGCCACTCCGCGCCCCCGGACCCAGGCAAGGGGGACTTCGCCCCTTGGCCTCCCGACTCGCTGACCGAGCAGCGACACCTGTTAAAACTCAACAAAGTGGCAAACTAGACATCCCATCGGTCGAACAAATCACAATTTAGCTTCGGGCCTTTGAATCTTTGCCTTTTTTTGATGATCATCATCTCCTGCACAATCATATCTACTTCTTGTTGTACCTCAAGTAACTCTTCAATATATTTCTCACTTGTCTGTCTCTTGCACACTTCAAAGTGATCTGAGATTGCGAATTCGATGATGTCCTGAGCTCGATGCGCTGCCTCCCTAATCCGTCCTTCGATACAGTCGTTGTTTTCGCCGACTTTGGATGAATAATCTTGGAGTGATCCTTCCAAGCATCTGAATTTTTCTTGGAGGGATTTCATGATCGGCTGTTTGCCGAGGAGAAAGTCCGGATATCGATCGAGCTGGATAATCTCTTCTAGCAGCTCCATGGTTGAAACAAGAGCAGAGTAATATGCCATTTTTGAAGTTGTTCAATCCTTGATTCTCCTCGACACATAAACACAAAACACAAGCAAGAACAAAGTCTAGTCGTCGTGTAATTTGTGATGTTGATATGATAGTTTTATAAATATATATATATATATATATATTGTTTCAGGAAAACGTGAATTCTAAAGAAAAGTAAAAAGTTAAAGACAACCCTTTTTTCTTGGTCAAGATTGGGACATTTTGATGCTTACAGTCGATCCAATGGCGTGAATCCAGCTTGTATTGATGTCCCAGGAGCTGACAAATTTTATCAATCAAATCCCCTTTACAAGTTGCTCGAAATTATTGCTGGACTTGTTCTTTCTGGACAGCCTGCCTCTGCCTCGTCTCGAAATTATTACAGTGGATTCTCTTGTATTGTTACTCTGGTATGGAAGTTGCCAGTGAGGTTTTGCAGCCAATCTATTGAGAAAATAGTCATTTCTGAATATTGATCGACTCCCATTTATAGATAAATAAATAATTGATACATACCTTAAAAGTTTAAGGTTTTAGGTGAGACGACTTAATGCATATCCTAAGAATCTAAACTTTAGGTGAGACGTCATTTATATCATCTAGCACGAACTCATGATGATTGTATAATGATGATTCAATCTACTTGTATCATAATGTATTGCAACCTTAATTTCTTTTCTTCTCAAATTGTCCACTTGTTTGTGTGGTTGTCTCTTGGTATTGAAATTTGATTACCATTTATGGTTTCTTGAATCATCCTAAATAAGCCCCTTTTCTTTATTTATTATTTAATACTCAATATTATGTCCACACCTTTGTGTAACTAAAACAACAAACAGAGTTGACGAATTTGCTGTCTTCGAATCCCCATGGCAGGCATAAGAGGAGCTGCTGAGTGTAGATATGTCTCTTGCTATTCTGTGATGTGATCATCAATAAAATAGAACAAACCCTAAATAAAAATTCAAATATGCAAAGATGGACTATGAAAAACCTGTCTTGATGTTTTGATACTAGAAACCATTAATATTGTAAATGAAGTAGGCATTTTTCGAATTAATTCAACATCAGCAGATATAACTAAAACAGAATAACAGATCGAAAGCATGGGCTAACCAAAAATTAACTATCAACTGTGAACGCAAACTTGGACCTCATCGTTCCCGTAACTCACTTGTTCCTCCAAGATTCTCCACGCTGATTCTTCAATGCCTCTGCTGCTTTCATATATGTCAATGGAAAGAAGCGTTGGAATATCTCCAATCTCCGAGGGGATCTCGTCCAGGTTAAAACACTTAATAATTTCTAGGTTTTCTAGCATTGGAAAGTGAAATGATTCTGCTCTCCAATGCATGAGATCTAACCTTTCCATTGAAAGGAATTTAAGCCGAAGGAATTCATCTTCTACAGGAATCCATTCTTCTCCCACAAACGAGTCTTCCCTCAGTCTGAGCACTCGCAGATTCGGCAAACAACCCACCATCGTCATTTCTTGCCATGAAAGTTTGCAACCTCCCAAAGACAACTTTGTAAGATTCAGAGGTAAGGCGAAGCCACTAAAGATCGAATCAACAATACAAGGAAGAACAAGTTTCAGCTCCACAAGTTGACGAAGTTGGAATAGGTTGTCGAGCCAATACATCACCTCCGCAAGACTGTCTTCATTTCCTGTGCAGCTAATTTTCAGTTTTCTAAGGTTGGGGATTATTTCAATGGTATCGTCGGAGCATATGAAGTTTTCTACGGTCATAAGAGTCTGTAGATGTTCTAGCTTTCGAACAGGAATGCCGTTGGTCGCAGGAGCAGGTGGCAAGGTCATTCTAGAAACTATAAGATGCCTTAGTTGTGTCATACACCAAATCTGAGGAGGTAATGCGATGGAACCGACAGATAGACTCGAAATAATCAAGGTCTGAAGATTCTGAAGGACAGAGATGGCTGGAGGAAGGTTCACTTGCGGTCTAAGGCCTTGTAGACACAACTCAAGGTATTTTAGATGAAACATATGGAAAATTTCATCCGGGATCGGCCAAGCTGTTGTTCCTTCTACATCCATGACTCGTAACAGCTTAAGGCTATCCAATTTGATGGTGTCAAAATCTGATATTTCGTCAAACCAAAGTACAGTGCGAACAAGTTTACCTATATCATGCAGATGGGATTCCGAGGGACGAATTTGATAGAGACTAATGCGGCGTGCATTTTCAACCACTCTCGGAAGATGATAATCTCTCATGGGCATGACATGAAAGAAACCTTCGAAAACAGCCCTTTCTTGGCAAAAGTTTCTCAAGATATTACGGAGGCGGCAACCCTTGAATTCACGAGTAGCTCTATTCTTAGTGACAAGAACCAGATTTCGTCGGACAAGATCCTCCAAGTATTCCTTTGCCGTTAGTTCTAAGGTTCTTCCCGAAAATCGTCTAACAAATCCCTCATCGATCCATAATCTGATGAGCTTGGAAACCTTTATTTCATAGTTCTCAGGCAAGCTTGCCATGTATAGCAAGCACGGTTTCAGGTAGTAAGGCAAAGCATTGTAGCTGAGAGACAGAACCTTCGGCAAGCATTCATCATTGCTCAAGATTGAATCTACATCCGCTGCAACCATTTCCCAGGCTTTGGGTGCCTCTGAAATAGTTGAAAGCACACCTGCAATTACAACAATCGCCAGTGGAAGTCCTCCACATTTACTTGAAATAAACTTCCCAATGTCCTCCAATTCAGGCGGACCAAGCTCTTGTCCAAACACCTTAAGCTTGAGTAGATCCCAACTTTGTTCCTCGTTCAAGAATGGCATGTGCAGAGTGGGGAATCCAACCGTGGAGGCAATATCTGATAACCTAGTGGTTAATACAATCCGACTCCCATTAAGGTCATTTGGGACCACTCTTAGGAGGTCTTCCCAAACTTTGATACTCCATATATCATCTAAGACAACTAGGTATCTCCTTCCAACTAAATGTCTGTATATTCTCTCTTCCAAATAATGCTCTCCAACTATATCAACATCATTCATCAAGCCCATAGATTGACTGATACCCCGAAGAACTTGTTCCCTATCGTACCCTTGAGATATAGTTACCCAAACCCGAATATCGAAGTCCTCCACAATATTCGGATCATCAAAGACAGCTTTTGCCAGAGCGGTCTTGCCTATTCCACCCATGCCAACAATTGGAATGACTTGGAGCTGGGATAAGCCACCGAAGATCCTGTCTTTAATCTTCATTAGCTCTTCATCGAATCCCACCAAAGTATTTTTTGGTGCAGGACTAGAACTCCTATACCTGCTGGGCTGCAAATCTTCACTTTTCTCGTCGTGGGGCTTCTTCAGCTCCTCCACCATAGCTTCCACTTCTTGCGCCACCTTAAGCAGCTCTTCTTCAAACTCTTCTTCCTCCACATTTTGGCAATAAGAAATCAGTTTGTGAAAAATCTTCACGATTCCACCATGATGGGTACTGTTCCCTAATTCTGATTCAATCTGCTTCGAGATCTCAAATTCAATCACATCCTGTGCTCGATACGCCGCATCCCTGATCCGCCTCTCTATATGTTCATCTTTGGGTTGAGAACAATCTCGCAAAAGGGTGAATTTTTGGTGGAGGGATGTCATGATTTGGTCCCTCCCCAGAAGAATGTTGGGATATCGACCCAGATGAAGAATATCTTCGAGTAACTCCACGAGAGAAGCAATAGCAGCACAGTACGCCATAACTTCCTGAGATCTTCTTCTTCTTCCACTTCCTCCTCTCAGACAACACACAATAGGTGCTATTGGTATTATGTCAAACAAACAGTTTCCATCTAGAGCTACAACCAAGAAGGGGTGCTTCTTCCAACCTTTACCACTAGAACAGCTCAGGCAAGATGAGTTGTATTAGTCAGCAGCAACTTGCAGATTAAAGCATAAACAACCATGGCGGACAGGCTGTCTAAAAGTCTACGCACACTCATCCCAATAATTGAGCTGTGCTGAGAGTGATTAGATTAAAAAAATAATTGGATGGTTAGGATCGAAGGAAAATTCTTAATCATGCCATATAATTTTTAATTGATATGACAATAGAAAAATTATTGAATAATACGTAACATGCTCGGAAGCTAACATCCCAGCGTCTAGGCCACAGCCCATACCAGACATCCGGGATATACCATACAATATGAAAGAATAATATAGAACATGGATCTACACCGAGACATATGTCATCAATCAACCGTATAGAATAAGGGCTCGCACACATGGGATGGGATGGACTATGACCGAAAAATTTGGGCAGAAATGTCAACCCGTGACATACTCCCCCACTTCAAATCGCAAATGCCTTTGTGCGACGCAACTTAAGTGTGTTGTTTCTTGCACCCTTGGTATGCCTCTAGCGTCACTCTGTTGACCCTTTTCTGCATATCCTCGTTATTTGTGCTCGCCAACAGCCAGCGAGGTGTTTCCATAGCCAACCCATATGCAACCCACGTCCCAACCGCTCGTCTCCGCACACCATCCGGAACATCCTTTGTTGCAGCTTGTGCATTCATGGCCCGAAGATCGTCCTTTAACATGGTTTTTTCCTCATGAACTAAGCTCTGACCCTTGGCCCGCCAATAATGTTGAGCATATTCCCTCACCCTAGGAGTACTTCCCATTGGCCTGGAATGTACCCTTAAAACATGCTCATTCGTGACGGGTCCATAAGCATGCTCCTTCACCGAGCAATGCTCCACTTTGTCGCTTCGTTTTCGCTTCGTTTGCTACCAACGTCAAAGTCTGGTCTGATACATATGTAACATGCGCCGGAAGCTGACAAATAAGAGTGTTTTAAGTATAATATTTTGGAGTTTGCAAGTTGCTCGAAATTATTGCTGGCACTTGTTCTTCCTAGACAGCCTGTCTCTGTCTGTCCTCTTGTTTTTAACTTTGTAATTATCAGTGAGGTTTTGTAGCTAATCTGTTGAGAAAATAATCATTTCTGGTTGCCGCCATTGTTGTAATTTGACTGTGGAGAGGAAGACCAAAAATGGCTTCTTATGCTGCTCTTGCTTCGGCCATGGAGTTGCTGGAGGATATCTTACATCGAAATCACTACCCGGCTATTCTTCACAGGAGGCGCCAAATCCTGAAATCCCTCCACCAGAAATTCACAGACTTGCGAAAATCGTTGAAAGATTATTCATCCAAAGGCGACGAAGCAGCAGATCTCGTGGAAAGACGAATCCGAGACACAGCATATCAAGTGCAGGATGTGATCGAATCTGAAATTGCAAACCCTAAAGATTCCGAAGAGGGAAATCACGTGTTCAAGAAGATAATTCAAAATCTGGTCCTTGCTTGCGAAGCCGAAGACGACGACGACTTGCAGAAGGTGGGGCGAGAAGTAGATTCCATAGTGCAGGAACTGAAGGCGATTAAGGAGAGCCAGGAGCTTGAAAATCTGCGGCTAGGTTCAGTGGCTGCTGAAGTCAACGCACCAGGTCAAACGCCTCGAGCTGATGCGGACGCCATGGTTGGATTTGATGAATACCTGGAAGCCATTAAAGAGAAGATATGTGGAAATTCGGCAAAGCTGCAAGTCATCCCCATTGTTGGGATGGGCGGAATTGGTAAGACCACTTTAGCAAGAAACGCCTTCGATAATGCTTCTATCTTGGAGAGATTTGATTTTCGTGGTTGGGTTACTATTTCTCAAGATTATGACGTGATTAGAGTTCTTCAGAACATCATAATCTCCTTGCGTATCATGACAATGGAGGAATTGGGTAGATTGGTAAAGAAAGCATTGGATGAGTATGAAAAATCGAAAAAGGAGCTTGAAAAGGAGAAGATAAAATCAGGGAAAGCTAAGGAAGGACGTAAAAAAACACAACAGGAATTGAGAGAAGAAATGGAGGAGCGTCGAAGACTGGAGGAAAGAACATCGAAAACTTGTATATATCAACACTTGAAAGGTCGAAGGTACCTCGTTGTGATCGATGATGTTTGGAAGAAGAAAGTTTGGGATGATCTGAAGCAAGCATTCCCTGATGATGGCAATAAGAGTCGGATCTTGTTAACGACTCGGCTAACATATGTTGCCCAATATGCTGTTGGCACGTCCAAGTTTCTTTATGAGATGGAATTCCTTAAGGCGGATGCTAGTTGGGATCTCCTTAAAAATAAGGTGTTCGGACAAGGACGATGTCCAAATGAATTGGAGGATACTGGAAGGTCGATTGCAGGCAAATGTAAAGGGCTTCCACTCGCAATTGTCGTGATTGCAGGTATTCTTTCGAGCGACACAACTCTAGGATACTGGAAAATGATCGAAAGGAATGTGAGCTCTGTTTTGCGCAGCGATGACGATCAATTGTCAAACATATTGTCGTTGAGCTATAATCACTTGCCTTCTCGATTAAAGGCGTGCTTTCTACTCATGGGAAGTTTTCCTGAAGATTATGAAATCAGTATCCCGAAGCTCATCAGGTTGTGGATAGCTGAGGGGTTCTTGAACTCGGACAGCGATTCTGGAAACTTAGAGGAACGAGGGATGGAATACTTCAAGGAACTTGTCGAAAGAAGTCTTGTAATTGTTAATAAGAAGAAGGCGAATGGCGAATTCAAGTTTTGTGTCATACACGATCTCTTGAGAGACTTCTGTACGACACAAGGAGCCAATGATCATTTCTTTAATGGCAAAGATTGGAACGAGAGTGAGAAAGTACGGCGCATTATTCTTTACTCAGCAGCGCCGCGGATGCCTTGGGCACTCAAAGACACCAAATACGTCAACTCTATTTGTTTATTTAGCCGGACAGCCTCGTCTGATCTTCTAAGATTGAAGTGGCATAGTGTTCCGTTATTGAAAATAGTTGATGTCGCAGATATAAAAACTTTGGTTGCTCCAACTGCATTTTCAAGAATGTTTCGTCTCAAGTACCTCGCTCTACAGCTAGGCATCGAGAAGAAGAAGCATCTTCCTTCATCAATATCCAAGTTTCTGAATCTTCAAACTTTGATTATTCATGCTCCTGTTTGTGAGTCCATCTCATTGCCATCGGAAATTTGGAAGATGCCGCAGCTAAGGCATCTTATAATCGACAGAATGAACCTGCCGGCTGTTCCTGAGGTCGACGATATTCCTCTCCAGAAACTTGAATGCCTGCAGACGTTGGAAACGGCTGAGAATTTCGTATTCACCAATGAGGCAATTTCGATGATCCCCAACATCAGAAAATTGAAATTAATTTGCCGGGGAGGGGAAGCCGGCGACATCTGGAATCAGTATTGCCTCAATAATCTCGTCGATCTTCTCCGACTTGAGAAGCTGAATATTGTCTTCCATGCGGAGCAGTTTTCATATGTCGATTCCTTTCAAAGCAGCTTTGCATTTCCCCGGAAACTTGAGAAGTTGTCTCTACAGGGCTGTCGACTACCATGGGAGAATCTTACCGTTGTGGGTTCCCTTCCATTTCTGCAAGTTCTCAGGCTAAGAAATGGCGCAATGAGTGGCAATGTGTGGGCGCCCGAAGAAAACCAATTTGTTAAGCTAAACTTCCTGGTCATGGAGAGCTTAGATCTCAAGGAATGGATTGCAGAACATGAACACTTCCCAAACCTCCAACACCTCCATATCAACAAGTGCACAGAACTAGAGAGGATCCCGGCCGGAATTGGGGAAACGCTTAAGTTCATCAGCGTGCAATTCAGCAAGCGTGCCGGAGAATCGGCTAATGAAATTCGTAAGGAGCAAAACGATGAGTATGCAAACTTTGATCTTCAAGTGCATGTTCTTGATTGATTGATTGGTTATTTGTTTTCCTGTATATGTTTATGTTTCCTTATTATGTATAGTTTTCGACTTTAGAATGATGTCTGGATGTTTTTGTCATTGAATACTGATGTTGTTACAACAGGTTGTAATGGCTTTGAACCATTTCAAGGAATGATTATGAGTTTGTTTATTTGAAGTTTGATTTTGGATTTTGTTTTCAAATAGGGGAACAAGAGTAAATTTGTAGATAAAAACAATCCAACATTGTGTTTGTTTATGGGTTTGTGTTTTTGAATTTAAATTTTTTAATCGTAAAATATTTGAATTTGAATAATTGTTTGATGGGATATAAATAGATATCAATATTAAAAAAATAATTGTTTAATTTGATATTGTTAAAAAAAAAATCTCAATAATAAAAATTTGTGCGGTAAAAGCCACGAGACATTGAAATGATCCATAACCTTATTAAACTGAAAATTAGTTACACTGGTAGTGAAGAAAGTCACAATGGGGAGATGTATTCATGGTTCCGCGTGACAGATCCGTTCTAGATACATTATGTATAAACATAACTTATTAATTTTTTATATATAAATTTAAATTTATTAAAAAATTATAATAAACAATTAAAATATATTAAATTATAAATATAATTAATTTTAAAATATATAATATTAAAGAAACTATGTTATACTAATTTATAATAAATTAAAATTAGAATAAATAATATTTCAACTCAATTATTATATATATATATACACTGATGCAAATGCAACTCATCTCACCTGAACAGTTCCAGTGGTGAAGTTCAAAGAAGTTCCCCTTCTTGGGTCTAGCTTGAAACTGTTATCGATCGCACCGCCCGTTGTGTGTTGCCTGAGAAGAGGAAGAAGAAGAACACGAACAAGAAGAAAAAGAAAAAGATCGGCGGGAAGTTATGGCGTACTGTGCTGCTATTGCTTCTCTCATGGAGTTACTGGAAGATATTCTTCATTTGGGTCGACATCCAAACATTCTTCTGGGGAGGCACCAAATCATGAAATTCCTCCACCAAAAATTCACCCTTTTGCGAGATGATTTCGAAGCTTATCCACCCAAAGATGATGATGTAGAGAGACGGATCAGGGATGCGGCATATCGAGCACAGGATGTGATCGAATTTGAAATCTCGAAGCAGATTGAATTCGAATTAGGGAACAGTACTCATCATCGTGGAATCGTGAAGACTTGTTGCCAAAATGTGGAGGAAGAAGAGTTTGAAGAAGAGCTGCTTAAGGTGGAGCAAGAAGTTGAAGCTATGCTGGAGGAGCTGAAGAAGCCTCACGACGAGAAAAGTGATTATAGTAACACGATGTGCTGTCTGATGTGCTGTCTTGTAGCAGACGACAATGCTAAATTTCTCAAAGAGACCAAGCTAAAACTAAAAAGAAAACAATCTTTGTGAAAGAAACATTCATATCCAAGAAATTTCACATCAAGAAACAAAATTAGAATCACCATTGCAAGATTTGATCAAAAACACACAAAAAAAGACTCATCTCTGCAAACTGGATCAATGTAATCTCATATTTGCAATGCAATCTAAAAGGCGGAAAAAGGAAAAAATAAAAAAATAAAAAATAAATAAAAAAAAATGCTATAGCCGATACAAAGAAAATTCCAAATGCTCGTCGCAATATTTGGCGACTCTTACCTGCATCAAGAAACACTGTCGTCCGCAAGAATTATCACCAAAACTCTGTAAGGTAATGGCGACAGATAATACATTGGAGGCGACTACCTTCGTATCCATCACTTGCAGCAATTTATGTACAGTGAATAACCAAATTCATCGATCACAAGGCAAAAGGAATGAAAATTTACCCATAACACAGCCAGTCGAGGCGCGGAAAGCAAGCGCGACGAAGAAAGTTACTCATGCTCTCTTCCTTTCTTCGATTAGAGACTGGAAAATTCGCGCGGCTGATTCTGCCGCCAACTGACTGCTACTGTGAGGCACCACTTTGATCACTTGCACCTTACTCTCATTGTTCGTCGCCTGCGCCTCGCTTTCGTCGTTTAGCATCTCACAGGACGGCATGGTAGGGAAAAGGGGCAGTGTTTCTCCCTCATTCTTACTTCCCAGATCGCTCGAAACTTTGCAAGGCGTTTCACCAACGTTGCTCGATAAATTCTTGTCCGATCCAGCAAGTTGGAATCCGGAATTAGTGTTGTTAATCGCCTCGCGATCAAGATTTAGACTGTTTGGATCCATTGCCGGCATGCTGTAAGGATGAAGGTAATTCTGATTTGGCGGAACACCATAAGCCACTCCTCCGACTGCGCTTAAATTCATCGGCGCGCAATTCCCATGAACCGGCGCCATCAAGCCCGCATTCGGAAAGCAAGTCCCGCTGTACGGAGGCCTTACGGGAACGAGCCATGGATTTCCGGACGAAGGTGGAAAGCACCACGGCGCCAGCTTAGCATCGGTAGGAACAGACGCTGGTACCGGTAACGGCGATAATTTAGCATCAGTCGGCATAGAAGGCAGCATCGGGATTAACGACTTCAAGGAAATTTCCTGACCAAAGTGCCCTTTTTCGGCGTCGCCGGTTGGATCCTCGGCTTTGCAATCCTTGTCGGTATCAGACTCCGTGACATCGACCTTAGATTTAGAAGGCAATGGATCCAGAGGTGTCATGAAGGGCAACTTATCGATCCGGGAAAATTGCATCGACTGTTTTTTAGGATCGAAATTGCTTTCGTGTGACATTTCGGGGGATCTTGCTATACGTCTTTGGACCTGTCGACAACGTTGAGCCACGAAGAATTCGATGCATTCTTTAATATAGGATGGGAAAGCGGAATAACTACGAGAACTTACCTGAACGAGTCGATGTAACTCAAATATCTGCAAAGAAAACACTCTCTGTTGACTGCAAAAAGGTTGGGGATAAAGACTTACATGGGTACCTAAAATCATCGAACAAAATACCCATATCTGATAGAGATGTATAGCATCCGTAAGCGTAAACATGAACTCATCGTTTTTCTCAAACATAAAAGAAAAAAAAAACTAAGTTTTTGCGAAGATGTATTGTCAAATTTATCAGATAAGAAAATTTAGCTATTCAAACTTCTCAAACATAATAAACATGCATTGAACAGCCGGAGATACTTACTGCACAATCGTTTTTCTCGCTCTCCAGAACAGTCGCTGACCGAGAATGGCGGCAACTTCATCCGGCGATATGTCCAGATCACTTCCAGAGGCTTCTGTGGAATCGGAAAAATCCTGCTTTTTTTCAGAACTTTCCATTGGCATTGCGCCTTTGAAGAAGTCCTTGCTCGAGTCGATCTTAGTTTTACACGACGAATCATTCATTGCCAAAGCCGATCTTTTTCTAGACGATGTTTCATGAATTCCAGATTTAGCGTCGCCCAACGCCCTGTCTTTTTGCAGAACTCGCAAGTCATGCAACATCGGCTTACAAGGATTCTGTAACATTGTCTGCTCGTCTCCTAGACTCGTTTTCAAGAGCTGATCAGATCGGAGTTTTCTAATTCCGAGCTCAGCGGATTTATTTTGCGCAAGAGAAGTATCTGAGAAATTTTTCGCCCCGAATAAAGAAATACGACAGGGCCTTTCAGAACAACTCTCACTATCCTGCGAAAGTCGCCCGCTTTCCTCAGCTGCACAATCGCGACTTGCAATCCTCGGCAGCTTCAAGAATACGTTATGGTTTTCGCCTGAAGAAACCGAACTACAGGAAGTACTCCCCGGATTCAGATGAAGCTTCCCATAATTGAGATTTCTCCCCGATGAAAAAAAAAACGGACTTTTAAAACTGTTCTTGTCTCCAGGAATTGGCGCGGGACTTTCGCTACATCTGGGAGGATCATTGCATTTATCTTTAGATGTTGATTCATCCGGAGCGCGCAAATTGTAGCTTTCAGTCAGCGACAACCATGGCTCGGACTTTGAGAGTATAGTGCTTGGGATTGCTCCTTCCTGGCACTGCGAATAATATCTCTCCGGCAAATGACAAAATGTAGGCATGCTTCCTGATGTAGGAAGCGCTTGTCCTTTGTCGCCACCTTCCTACAATCAATGTGAGAATTAGAAAGCACGGCACAAACAATTAAAGAAACAGGTCAAACGAACAATCCACACCTCAGTTCTGCTCCATCGAATCAAATAACTTACCAAAATGAAGTAAACGACCAACTCACCTAAAAATTTAAACTGTTAGAATACGCATTATTTATTTATTTATTTACAAACAAAAGTCAACCTACACACCCCTGAGTTATTAGGATACGCATCATTTATTTATTTATCTACAAACAGGGGTAAACCAACATGCACTCACAGGCAAGGGGATAAATGACACCAAACTAAACTTGCCCCCGGATGACGACAAACCCGGAGACTGTGGAATTCGAACTCGAGACCCAACACTCTGATACCATATTAGATTATATAAATGACCGTCACTTAACAGATACAAAAAGCAAGAAAGAGGCAATGCAAAGCACAAGTGGTTCTAATTGCGCCGCGCAAATAATCAAACACACGGCGCGCGCAAACAACCTACGCCTCATTTCTACTTCATAACAAACTTTTAACTACAAAATGAATACTTTTCGAATACATAAGGTGATCATAACAGAATTCAACCACATTATTCCCTACAAATTAATCCAAACCGACAATAAGCAATAAGCAAACTGAATAAAAGACAAAAGCCACTTCACGGATAAACAAAATTCAACAAACAGTTAATACAAGTGATGATCAAAGATCATTTCTACTTCATCGAATCAAATCACTTACCAACCAGCAGACTTTTTTCAACTGCACAATGTGCATGTTTCGAATGTATAAGATGATCGTAACATAATTCAACCACATTATTCCCTACAAACTAATCCAAATCGACAATAAGCAATAGGTGAAACGGATAAAAGACAAAGGCCACTTTACGGATAAGCAAAATTCAACAAAGAGTTAATACAAGTGATGATCAAAGATCATTTCTACTTCATCGAATCAAATCACTTGCCAACTAACAGACTTTTTTCAACTGCAAAATGAGCATTTTTCGAATGTACAAGATGATCATAAACAAACTAATCCAAATCGACAATAAGCAATATGCGAAACCGATAAAAGACAAAGGCCACTTTACGGATAAACAAAATTCAACAAACAGTTAATACAAGTGATGATCAAGATCATTTCTACTTCATCGAATCAATACATAAGCTGATGATAACATAATTCGGTCACATTATTCCCTACAAAGGCACACTCACATTACTGGAGGATCGTGAAAGGAAAGTAGAGCCGCCACTGCTAGGAAGAAATGGCAGCAATGGCGGCGATCCGCTGGACCCGAATGATTTGGAGCTTTGAGAGACCACATTGTACTGCTCACAAAGAGCCATTTTGTTCCTAGGCGGTGCTCTCGGGCCTCCTTTGTCTGCATCACTAATGTGCAGTCTCGGAAACATAGGATCCATTGGCTTATTCCCTTCATCCTTTCTACCTTTCATTCCCCAACTTTCTCTTTCATAAAAACCCTAATTTCATCCACTATCAACAACCAACACATTCTGCAATCCCCCCAAATCACACCATTTTTGCAAGTTCGTACAAAACATAAAGCTGATTTAAACGATCTTAAAAACAAAAATTCGAAGATATAGAAGAGCAACAGCACACTCACTTCAAGGAACCCAAATGTCAGATTACGCATAGAAGAAGAAGAAACTAACTGAAAGTGGGGTGGGGTGTGTGTGGGGTGGGGTGGGGTGGGTACGCGGCAGGTCCAAAGCGAACAACAACGTCGGAAGAGGATTACTGAAGATAGGAGATGTGTCTTTATAAGAAAGCAAGATTAGGAGCGAGAGAGTGAGGGGCTGAATCACAGGTGGAGGAGAGAGAGAGGGAGGGGATCAGTGATCACCGAATGAAATGGGTCACCTCAGAGATCGATCTGATCGCGATTGGAGAGACGCAGCGAAATGGAAACGCTCTTTCGATATTATTTTAAATCAAAAATCTTGGAAAAGAAATTTATTTTTCTTGATATCTTTCGATTACCGATTCAATTCAATGAAAGTCCGCTAAATAGCTATATGGCTATGTTTGGATGTAAGATCAGTGGACATAAATAGCTTTAGATTTGTTCTCAAGGAATTCGCCCCCCTAAATCAATGGTATCGTTAAAATTTTCCCACGTATTATTATCATCCCCTTTCTTCTCTATTTCGAAATGAATCCATTTGTCGCCGTAAAAATCTAATCTTTTTCATATTTTTGGATGTAGTATGAAATATATATAGTGATATATAATAGTATTATTATTTGTACACACCTAAATAATTAATTGTGCCGCTACTACAGACACAACCCAGAATGGAGGTTCCCAGACCAACATGCAGCAGCGATCAGCAAGTGGATTTGCATGTCCAACCAGCCCGTTGATCAAGCAACCCAATATAGAAGGTAGCTTGTTGGAAAAGTCAACCGAAAGAGTGAATTTATTAGGATAAAGAAGTTGCTGGAAGAAAGTTAAGAACAATACTATGTCCAAATAAAAATCAAAATTAAGAAGATTTAAAGAAGATCAAAGAGAGGAGAAATACGTCATTCATCGTGTGATCATATTCATTATTTTCTCTGCAATTTTTCCATTCCTGTAGTTTTTCCAAACTTTTACAGTTTTCTTTCATTAATTTTAATTTAATTTTCAATTTCGTTCTTATTTATTTTACCTTATTTTTTTCATCAATTTTTCGATTATCGCGAGATAGCCCGAATTATTTCTTGAGAAGGCCGGAGAACCCTACGAACAAATCAATTTCGATAGGCTTTTCGATTAAACCGTCGGTGGCGATTTTTTCCGACAACAGAATTGGAACGTCTAGTAGGACACCGACGTCTCGCGACTTTTACATGCAACTTCGAGATAAAACTGATACCGCCAATGACTGTAGAGATGTTTAAAAATAAAGAAATCGTCGGCGATTCGTCATTGCGCCGTGCGTAAGAAGCTGCCCCACGCGACGAAGCTTGCGTTGTTGCTGAAAGGCCGGACCAGAACATTAGCCTTCCAGCCAGCATCATTTAGGAGCATATCCGTGAGGAAATTCAGTTGTCCCTTCACGGATCCGCCCAAGAACTATCGAAATACATTAGCGACGTTCTGAAACCCGTCATTTGGAATGAGTTTGCGCTGCTTCTGAAGGAAGAAACTCAAAAAAGCAAGGTCCGAAAGGTCGATTCCAGCCAGCCAGAGATTTGACCTCCCGCGGGCCTTACAACCAGCTTCGCAGCAAATCCGACCTCTCAGGCACTTAAGTATGGTCATATTACTCTGTTCGGAAGGAGTGCCGGATCTAGAGGACTTCCGATCCTCATCCAGAAGGTCGAAGGATCTCCGGCGTCGGCCGGACAGGCTTCCTTTGGGCCGCCTTCAACCGATGGATTTGGGATGACCTTCAAGTCAATCCCATCAGCACCACATGGGCAAAATAATTATTTGTTGGAAATACTTTCAGCACTCTAGTCCCTACTCCAGACCTTCGAAGAAACCCAGTGGCCGGACAAGAAACTTCCAATGCATGGAGGGCAAGGCCGACAGCGATACCAGCACCTTCCTTGGTCCCAAAGCCTTCTGGATTGACTTGAGACCAAATGGACCAGTCCCAACACCATCCCGATACATTGGGGGGAAGAGAGCTGCTGAGGAAGGTCGATTTGCTGCTGGTTCCGGGCTACAACAAACCTACGAATATCCTGACCAATCAGCCCCCAAAAATACACCATTGCAATAGGCTCCAGTCCTTAGAGAACTTACGGAAGGCCCCCGAATTCGTTTACACAATTGGGACTTACTCATCAAGCCTTCCCACAACCGGCATTACACAATCCGTCGTCTGGTCAGGTAGCTTCCGAACAGCCTGGGGGGCAGGCAGAGATGGGGCTGTTGCCACATCCCATCATAAATCCATAGGTAATAAAAAATGCGATTCATAGGATGTATGGCAATAGGCGAAGTAAGGAATCGCTCGAGCAGTTCTTGGAACAATTAAGAAGTGCATAAACTAGATGCCAAGTTCGTATACCAGAGGACCATGTGGTGAATGTGAATATAAATAACATGACATACCAGTTGCATGACAGGTTGGCTCTCCAGGAGTGTCACGACTTTTGACAGCCGATGTCCAAAGCTGTGAAGGCCGAACAACCTTTCAAAGAAGCTCAAACGGCCCTAAATCAGAAGTTCCAGAGTGGGAACCATTGCGTCTTTGCTCAAGAAAGGGCTGCCGAGGTCGAGAATGAGCAGGAATAGACCTTATTGGCTGAAATTTCACAGGGAAAAGTATATACATGCTCGGCTCTTAAGCCGCTCCGATGGAAAGAGGTGAATCCAAAAATATCTTACTCGTTCGATATTGCAAAGACATAGCAGATTTTTTATTATTTGTTGAAAGACAACCAGCTCCGCCTCAAGGAAGGTCACAAAATACCGACCGAATAGGAACTGAAAGGAACATTATTTTGTAAGTGGCATGGAGTATATTGCCACCGGATCGATAACAGTATTGCCTTCCGAAATACGGTCCAAAAAGCCATCAAAGAAAGCCGCCTCAATTTGGCTGAAAAATCTAATATGAAAGTAGATACGAAGCCGTTCCCCGCACCGATAAATGTTGTCAGGTTGCATCCAGCCAGGTCCAGAAAGTCGAATCCAGGTTTTGGAGCAGATGGTAGGAAAATATGCCCTAAAAACCAGTGTTTGAGAGGCTTGGAAGGTCGATCAAACCTCTGAGGAGGAGTTCGGTGTGGACCAGACTTTCTCCTATGAATACAGTCATGGAAGTAAGCTTTAAAAAAGGAGACGAGGTTTGACGAGTAACCTTCATAGATCAAGTGGTAATCACACCCTATCAGACCCGCATTCCTAGGAAGGCTCCAAACAACGGGAGCTAGACAAAAAACCGGAAGGAGCAGGTGGTGCAACCTCTAACTAGGACTCAAAAAAGAATAATACAACGACAACACCTAGCTGTTCTCCTTTCCCAGGAGTGTCCGACTGGGGCGTAGCAGACTTTCAACCATGAAAGTCAGGCCGGTGGGCAGCAACGCCAGGATTCCGAAGGGGTTGTCGTCAAAAGACCGAAGTTTGGTCAAGAGGACCTTCATCACCAGCTTCAGGCCCAAAAGGAATTGAGACTAAAAGGATTTTTTGCAAGGGTTGAGTACCCCATCGAACCTCACTTTACTGTGACACTCGGGGAAGAGCAAATTTCTGAGGATGAGCCGATGATTGATGCCCTTGATTGCGATGAAGCGTCAAAGGCTACCTTGGATATTATAGCTTGCGACCAAGACCTTGAACAACCTTCACGCTATAAGGAAGACCTCAAGGTTAATACAATAGGTGTGTTACCTCGAGAATTCAAACCTCCTCCAACCCAGCCCGACTATCTCCAGGGAGATGTTCTACTGGAAGGAGTTGGTTCGTTATATTAGGGTGGACCAAAATACCGACATTCAAAAGGAAAGACCAGAGCCAGTGATTTTTCAGAAGTTGGTGGATGAAAATACACGTCACTTGAAACCCTTATTCCTCACGGTACATCTTGATGGGCGGACGATCAACAAGGTCCTGGTAGATGGGGGAGCTTCGGTCAACGTGATGACTCTATCTATTTTAAGAAAAATTGGGAAAAATAGGAATGACCTTGTCCCAACAGCAATGCGAACAACTGACTTCACCGGGAACGCACATACAGCCGCAGGCATCTTAGTGGCGAAAGTGACAGTCGAAACAAGGACGGACCAGATGGTTTTCTTTGTTATCAAAGGGAAGCCAACTTATTCGGTCATTCTCTGGAGGGATTGGATCCACACCACCCAGTGCGTCCCTTCGACTCTACACCAAAAAGTTATGTTTTGGAATGGGGATCAAGTCGAGACGGTGGAGGCCGAGGTTGATCTGGCTATAGAGGTACATTCCGCAGAGGCCGTTTATTATTTCCCTAATGTATACATATTGTCCATGATTCATAAGGACACTGGAATATAGAAAGAATTCAATCTAACCATGAAGGGGTTCGAAATCAAAGTCGAGGCCGACGCACGGCCTAATAACTCAGGTATTTATCATGTCTAACATCCTGATTTACAGGATTTGGAGGCAAGAGCAGGCAGGTCCGGTTGTCCTTTTATACGGGCTAAAAATCATGCTGCTCAACCTCTTGACGTGCAGGCAGGGACATCCTCCCAGCCGCCGATTTTCGATCAAGACGAAAAGGATATTCAGTCACCGATTCAAAGAGCTGCTTCATCTTTCGAAGCGCAGGATCCATTGGAAGAGGTCAACTTGGGGATAAGACAACCCCTCGGATGACACATGTCAGCACCTTTCTAGATGTCAAGAAGAATGAGCAAATGATTGCTTTGATCCGAGAATTCAAGGATTGTTTCGTATGAAATTACCATAAGATTCTGCGGCTATCAAAGAGCTTAGTGGAGCACCGATCACCTACTAAAGCTTCATTTCGGCCACACAAACAGCCCCCTAGGCGTTTCAACCAAGAATTGTTGCCGAAAGTGAAGGAGGAGATCGAAAAAATCCTTAAAGCTAACTTTATTCGAATATGCAGGTATCTGGAGTGGATCTGTGCTTGCATTGAGGTATACATAAATGATGTGATCGTGAAGTCCCTTGCCTTCGATCACCACTTGTTGGACCTTTGGAAAACTTTTCTGCGGATGAGAAATCACGACCTCAAGATGAATTCGGCAAAGTGCGCTTTCGAAATACAAACAGGGAACTTCTTAGGTTTTTTGATCCATCAAAAGGGGATCGAAGTTGATAAAAATAAGGTCAAGGCTATTCAAAACCTTAGGCCCCCACACAACATTAACGAACTGCAAAGTTTGATGGGGAATGTCAATTTCTTGAGGAGATTCATTGTCAATGCGGCTGAGAGAATGAAGACCTTTTCGGTATTGTTGCGTGGGATAAAGACATGTTCGAGTATGGAACAAGACTTTAGAGAAGAAAGTCCTAAACAGCAAGGTCAGTCAATTCTTTTAGGAAGGATCCCCGCCCGGAGTTCACTCCCAGAAATATAGCCATCCCTGCCCCCTTCTTGCATGCACAATAAGAAGATTCCGATGTTGCTCGAATCTGCTTTTGACCTATAACCTTAGCGCATTGGGAAGTGCGAGTTTGGGCTACAAGAGGTCGGGTTCTTGGTTTTGCTTGGTGGGCCGGAAATGCCCGACTTATACCTGAATAGGAACATACCATCATTTTTTTCAATTACAGAATTTTTGGGCGGAAATGCACATACACGTGATGCTGAGTCGTCAGACTTATCCACCAAGGGCGCTAGTTGATCGAGCTGACTTTTCGGATTGACCTCCTTTGCGCCGCCTTCCTCATAGAAGCCGCCGGGTTGACCCCGAAGGCCGCTCTAAAAGCAGCTAGTGAGTCGATGTCTTATGGAGTGAAATCACCACCAAAATAATAGCTTCCAGCGTGTGCACACCAAAGGGATAGCAGCGCCAGAACCAAACTCAGGATCTGGTTGAGAGCAATCTAGCTGCAGGGAATCTCCCCCGCGAAAGAATAGAATCTTTTTCGCCACACGCGAGGACTTAGGGGCTCACTTTTGGTCTCGTCAACTACGTCGGTTGTTATGTGCATTTTTCCCTTTTTCTGTTGGTGCGCTTCGCTTCCGGTTCTTCGGAAGAATCCACTTACGTCTCCCTTCTTCATTGATCTAGGGGAAAATGAGGTGGAAGCAGCTTCCATTCCCTCTGGCTCAACCCAGCAAGAAGCCCTAGACCAGATTAAGCAGGCGTTAGCATCTCCCCTGGTGTTAATGTCGCCAATTAGTGAAAGAGAGTTGAAGTTGTACATAACCGCGAAAGACGACACGACGGGCTGTCTCCTTGCCCAAGACAATGATGAAGGCCAGTCCTCCGAAGCCGTTTAGTTAAATGGGCGTTAAAGTTGGCATCATTCGCTTTAACATACCAACCCCTTAAGGCCGTGAAAGGATAGTCCATCGCAGATTTCTTGGCCGAACTTCATGTGATGGTTCAGGCCGTTCATTTAGACTACGTGGGGCTGGAACCTTGGCTGGTGAATTTTGATGGTTCCGGCACCTCGGAAGCAGCCGGAGCAGGCATGGTGATCTTCAGTTCAGAAGAAAAAGTATAGCGTTTTGCCCATCAACTTCCGCAAGGTGTCACAAATAACCAAGCTGAGTACGAGGCGCTACTATTAGTGTTGTGATTCTTGGTCGCAAATAGGTCAAGAAAGTCGTCATTTGAGGGGCTAGAGGACAAAATCTTGATTTCCATTATAAAGAAAGCGCTGGAGGACAACCTGAGGGGCTGGCATAATATTTTGGAAGAGGCTTTTTGGGCATATCAGAATGTCAAATCCTCCGTAATCGGGAGCATTCCTTATTGGCTGACCTACGGCCATGACGTTGTGCTTCTGTTGGAGATTACACTGCCTTCTCTCCGGATCTTGAAGATGAACCAGCTGCCGATGGGAGAGCAGGACTAGACATTGCTCCAAGTGCTCGACGTCTTACCCGAAGAGAGACTACAGGCTCTTGAACGCATTCGGCATCAAAAGAGGAAGGCCGAATCGACATTTCTAAAGTGCGTGAGGCCTCAGACATTCCAGAAAGATGACATGGTCTGGAAGGCCGTCCTCTAGGAAGGCTCCAAAGATGAGAAACTCAGAAAGTGGTCCCCCACATAGGAATGATCTGACACGGATGAGTTGGTGTGACACCCCAGTCCGCAAGTCATGCAAGCTGGGCGTGTCGGGATGTCGTAGACTGGCCCCATAGGTCAAGACGAGTCCTTTCAGCGCGGTTCTGTCCTCACTCATGCGCACCTGGGAGACATCTAAGGGGATCACCCATCCTCAAATTACTCTAGTGCAAGCACATTTGACACTGGAGTTCTTTCAGTGGGGCTTCCGAAAAGAAATGTACACATTGTTGACATGAGTAATCTATTCAATCAATTTAACCTCTTATTCAACCTCATGGGCATTTCATCCTCCCCGACTCATATAACTATTCAACTCCGGGGATATTACAATTGGTTATGATGAAAAATTCAAAACTCGCACGCATCAGTCGATCCAAACACATGGGAGTTAAATTAACAAAATTATCCAGACTATAAGTTAATTATGTCCAGATAAATTTTGTGAGGGGCATTTGTACACACCCAAATATTTTATTTGACCGGCCCAATACATGCGCAACTCAGAATGGAGGTTCGCGGACCAACATACGGCCCCGATCAGCAAGTGGGTCTGCATGTCCAACCAGCTCGTTGACCAAGCAACCCAGTCTAGGAGGTAGCTTGTTGGGAAAGTCAACCGAGAGAGTGAATTTTTTGGGATAAAAAAGTTGTTGGAGGAAATTTAGGAATAAAGCTTTATTCAAACAAAATTCAAAATTAAGAAGATTTAAAGAAGATCCAAGAGATAGAAAAGACGCCATTAATTATGTGATCATCTTCTTCGTTACTTTCTCTGAAATTTTTTCATTCCTGTAATTTTTTCAGATTTTTACAGTTTTTTTTCATTAATTTCAATTTAATTTTCAGTTTTGTTATCGTATATTTTACCTTTTTTTTCCATCAATTTTTCGGTTATTGCGAAATAGCCCAGATCCTTTCTTGAGGAGGCCGAAAAATCCTACGAACAAATCAATTCCGACAAGTTTTTTCGATTAAGCCGTCGGTGGCGATTTTTTACGACAACAATATTTAATATAAAGTAATAAAATAAATAAAAATACTGTTTAATGTACTCTTTTTTTTTTTTCTTTTACAAAGTATATTTGTAATGGATGATAAAGTAGAAAATATATAGTTTGGTATTTTGACGGATATAATGGCAAAATGTTTATTTATGTAAGAGCATTTGTTTGAAGATATGGTATCTCTCCTATTTAAATGATCTCAAAAGAATTTTGTAATAGATATTAAAGAAAAATAATATTTCGACATTCAAATTTATTCTTTTGATATATATATATATATAATCCAAATTTGTTTTCATTTTTTCGTTTAGTAAAAAAATACCATATTTTGTACTTTTTTTTTACCAGAAAAGAAGATTTTTTCTATTTTTACTTACTTTTCCTAAAACTCGTTTGATTAAATAAACATAATTTTACAAGATAGGGAAATACTGTTTTCTATCTCCAAAATTTAAACTTATTTGATCTGAATATGAGTTTCAATTAATATAATATTATATTAAGAAATGGATCATATGCCGAATATAATTATGAAAAATCATATTGAAAATAATAATTTGTATTGAGTCGTTGATTTCCATACAAGAATAAAGTATAAATAATATATATTGAAAATAGTATCAGCAAAAATATTATTTAGAGTATGAGTGGCAAAAATAAATACGGTTTGAAAGTCCGATCTGGACACGGTAAGAAAAATTTGTGTTTAAACCTTTAAAAATAAGCACGGAATTTTTTAGCTCATACTTGGCCCGGCACGCCTATGATTTATAAAAATTAAATTTTAAAATTAAACTATTTAATATGTATATTAACTAGTAAAATAACAACAAAAAATTATAGGAAGGCTAGATGGTAAAAGTCTTAAGTTTATTTATATTTGGGTGTGGGTTAAGTTTTATATAATAAATAAGTGTTTAATTTGATATATATATATATATATTTTTAATGAAAATAGAAAATTAAAATAGTAAAATTATTCAAAAAAGTCCCTCGAGTAGACAATTCTAGCCGCATTTATTGTGGTGTTAGAATTTAATATGGTGTAATAAAGAACATCACATAAATATTGTCAATATATTTAATGTTGAATGTCACTAAATATATCCATAATAAAGGCATTCATCCAAATTGCTGAAATTATTCACATGCAATAAATCCGTACAATCTTTATGCATTATTTTAACATGTATGGTGATTTTTATTTGGACGTGCTATGATATTTTTTATTAATTTAACAAAGAATAAAAAAATTAAATTGATATAAACTATTTTTTGATATAATACTCTATTTTAAGAAAAAAGATTAAATAAAATAGGCTATTAGAAGAAAATAGATTATATTTTAGCTAATTAACGGTGTGTTTCTTTACATCAAGATTTTTTTTTTAAAGAAAAAAATATATTTTTTTTTCTCTCAAAAAAAATAAAAATACGTGATGTTATATTATTTTAATCAGTGCAGAAAAAGATGCGATCTTTATTGTTGTTTTGTTTCGGGAATACAATTGCGAGATTACCAAGTGCAAACATTAATTGCAGTTTTCGATGGGCTCGGGCCCGTTGAAGCTACGAAGCCCGGCCCAAAATGGAAACGTGTGCACCACGCCTATATATATAAATATGTATGTATGTATAACCCTTTACGAAGACCTTCGAACGACGCAGAACCCTCGTGAATTTCTGTATCATCTCAACAAGGTAAGCGATTTCCTGGCCAGGATCGGTTATTTTGTTGTTTTTTTTGTAATAAATCATGGCAGTTTCTGCAATTTGTTGATATTTTCCGCGCATCGCTTTTGTTTCTTATTGACGCAGTGTCTGGTGGGTTTTGTACGAGGTTCGTTCGTTTTTGCGAGAAATTGTCGCCATTGTTGATTTGACTGGGAAACCTTGTGGTTAGGAGTTTTTTGGTTTTCTTGAAATAACTGTTAAGGAAGTTGCGTTGGTGGATTTTGGATGATATGTGGTTTAGTAGGAGGCTGCTGTGGAGGGAAATTCTTTTCCAGAAACATGTTAAGATTAAGAAGAGTAATCGAACGAATTTGAAGTCGAAACCTAATGGTATCGATGGTGGAAGCTTAAAGAAGCGAAAAATGGTGCTGAGAGGGGAAGCTAGGGTTAGGAAGAAACAGAGAATTGGGGGAAATGCTCCAGTGGATGATAGAAATTCTGATGTAGCTGTAGATAAGTTTTCTGAACTTCCAGATGTGATCATCCACCATATTTTCTCGTATATTCATAGCACCAAGGATATTGTGCGGAACAGCATTTTGTCGAAGAGGTGGAAAAATGTTGTTGATTCGTACCCACTATTGGATTTTGATGAAAGGTTGTTCATGTTGCGGCAAGGTAAGGTTAAAGGAAGGCACAATCGAATTAAATTGCGGCAGATTCAAAGAAAGAGTTTCAGAAGATATGTTGAGAGGTCATTAGCATCAAAACTCGATTTGATTCCTTGCATAGACAAGGTCCGGGTGTACGCTAAAATTTGTTGCTACAAGAACGTAAATTTGTATGAACGTTGGGTTCGATCTGTCTTGGAGAAGAATGTGAAGGAGTTGGAAGTCCATTTTGATTCAACTGCCAAACATCTTTTCTTCATAAAGGATGTGCTTAAGTCTGCATCGGTAACTTCCTTGAAATTTTCGGGATTATTTGGTGTCGCTGAGATGGCTAATCTGCGTCAACTTTCACTGAAAGATACAAATATAGTCAATGAGTTATTTTTCAAGAAATTTGAAGAAAAATGCCCATTGATAGAGGATTTGAGGATTATCCGTTGCAGCGGATTTCTAGAGCTAGATATTTGTACTCTTTTCAGGCTTAAGAGGGTGGAGGTGCACGAGTGTACCAATCTTCTTTCCATTAGAATTGAGGCAGAAAACCTTGAAACATTTTGGTATTATGGAGGAAGACATCAGTCCTACTCCTGCTTTATCAACCTAAAAGGTTCGGGAAATTTGAAGAATTTGACATTAAGGGACCGTAGGATGACAGAAACTGCATTTCAAGATTGCATTTCTAAGTGCCCCTTGCTCGAGAAGTTGGTGCTTCAGGAATGTGATGCCCTGGAGAGACTTTCAATTCTGAGTAGTACATTGAAGAGCTTGACCTTAGTTCAGTGTGCCAATCTACGTGAACCCAATATCGATGCTCCTAATCTCTACTCCTTCGAGTACCGTGGCCATAGAATGTCTTTTCCTTCCATGAATGTATTGGGTATCCGCTCGGCAAAGTGTTGTTTTGCTCCCGCTCCCAGTATGACAACATCTCAATGCTTTTTCGATTATCATAAGCTTTTTGGAAAGTTTGATCAGTCTAAGGATTTTAAATTGATCATTTACAGCAAGCAGGTACCAATGATTATTTATTTGTGTAATGCATATACTCTGACATTGTATGTCCTTAAATGTGAATATAATCATCTTATTGGGTGGTGATTCTAGAGTATGAAGATTTATGAAGAAGCAAAGGAGGCCTGCCAAGTGCCGCACGTTTTTCGCAAGTTGGAACTGACATTGTCGGTAGCAAGTGTTTTGAAAATCGTTGATAACTGGTTGCGGGAAGACCATGGGAAGGTTCTCATGGTAGTAGCTCCCAGAAGTGAATTGACAAAGGTGAGTAAATTTTTCCCAACATTTTAAACCTTTATCTATGATACGAATTATAAAATAGCAATAGTTTTGGTTCAATTAGCTATGTTCTTCCAACCTATCTGGAAGAATATGTCGGGGCAAAATTTTGTGTTACCTTGTGCTAGCTCTTGAACTAGTTTTGTGCTACTGTTAATAGATGTTGGAGTGCTGATTAATTTAGCTAGAATCAGAGCAACAATTAGCACCCAATCCAATATAATAAATTTGTCATCTCTTGACAGGGCATTAAAGAGGGTATACAAAATTCACATTGAACTTCAGTTGATCCGCATTGGCAGACGTGACTATCATTTTTTAATGTTCTAGATATGTCCTTGATTTTGGGTTCATATTTCTTATACAACTAGGGTTGGAATCCATGCTAATTAAACTAAACTGTACAAGCTTTAATTCGGTTGTTCAGAAAGACTGGATTTTTATATTTGCTGTTCTAGGTTTACATATGTATGTATTTACGATATTGTAGTTTGCTTTTCTTTTACAACTGGGAAATTAAATCGACTATGAATTCAAGCTTTTTTGGGCTGATAGATTAGTGTGGCTAGTTTCCATGTGCTATAACTCTATTTTTTGGCAACCACTGCATTGTCTGTGCAGTATGAACTAATATTAAGCAACTTATAACTATGGATTCTATTTTTTGCTACTCTCTTTGCCTTGGTATTTATGCGCTCGTTATTTCTTCGTTGTAGCAGTTTACAGATCTTTCTCATTATGACTTTTTTCCATTTTCCTTTTTGTCATTGGTTGCAGGGGTTAAACTCACTGATTGCGGACAGGGAAAATAATCCAAACTGCTGTGGAGCTTATTCGAACAAATGTTGGCGACATTACTTAGCTGATGTTAAAACATTAACCTCTACCAGGGCACACAAGACCTATTATCAGTTTAAATGGAAATCAAGGAATGGATCTTTAGCATGAACTGCCGTTTGTTTTAGGGCAGATATGATGATCCAAAAAGATACAGATTCTATTGAAATGAATGTCTGCAACTTTACATGTCTAATATCAAAAACGATTGTTGTTTTTCATATTGTTGTTTTTACAAATCAATCTTAGCTGTGGGAAACAGGTGTACATGATTTTTGCAGAGTTGTTCACAGCTAGGAAAATCCCTCAGCTCTGACACTTTCGCGCAACATGCTTATCTGATTACTTGAGCACGAGATTCAAAGCGGTTGTTGGAATTGATTCGCTATTATTTTCGATGGTGCAATTGGAATATGATACTTTCTTTCTCCTGGAAAATGGAATCAATGCTACAGAGATACACGGAAGAACGATGCTGGTATATGTATATATACTGCATATATCTTGTCCTTCATTTGCCATTGATATTCTTTGCCGTAGCTCTCTGTTTACCATGGTACGCCAAACTCATCCTGCAGTCGAATTTATCCTTCATTTGATAATATCCTCGATATCATAATGTTACAAATTTCACGACCATTTGTTTGTTGTAGGATACAGGAAAGGATCAGGCAGGCGAGACAAAAGCTATAGCCGTTGGGCCGTGGGGAGGCAATGGAGGCGCTTATTGGGACGACGGGAGCTACACTGGCATCAGAGAGATTACACTCACGTATGCTCGATGTATTGACTCCATCAACGTGGTTTACGACAAGAATGGCAAACCAGTTTCAACGGAGAAACATGGAGGCGTAGGCGGTAGTATAACTGTCGAGGTAATAACAACATATCTCATAGATTTAGGAACGCTTTGTTTACATTACAAACTTTTACTTATTTGACACTATTTATTTTTTTAAAAGCATCACCTCTAATACACTTTTGCTTCCGAAACATCAAATTGAATACTCTAAAGGGTGTGTTTGTTGAATAATAAAAAAGTTGAATTTGAATAGTTGTTTGATTTAATATAAATAGAGGTTGACGTGATGTTTTGAATATAAAATAAATCTGTAGTATAATATAAATAAATAAAAGTAATTATTTGATGTGATATTTTTTGAGAAAAAAAAGATAGTCTGAATAGTAAAACCTTTAGAAACGCTTTGTTTAGCTTAGAAATTTTCACTTGTTTGACACTATTTATTTTTTAAAAACATCACATCAAATACACTATTGCTTCCAAAACATGAAATTGAATACTAAGGGTGTTTTTTGTGGATTTTTTAAAAGTAAAAAAGTTAAATTTGAATAGTTGTTTGATGTGATATAAATAGAGGTTGATTGTGGTATTTTAAATGAAAAATAAATTTGTAGGATAATATAAAAAAAAGAAAAGTAATTGTTTGATGTAATATTTTTTTAGAAAAAAAAAAAGAATTTGAATAGTAAAATCGTGTGGCACAAAAGAACACAACTTTAACTTTATACTCTTAACTTCCAAAATTTCAAAAATCTGTGTCTAGACAAAGAACATCTCAGAACTTTTTCTTGTCGACACTTTTCGAGTTTGTTCATAACTCAGCCTTGCCTTTACCAGATCAAGCTGCAATTTCCCGACGAGTACTTGACGTCCGTTTCCGGGCACTACTATCCAGTGGTTCACGGAGGAAGCTCTGTGATCCGGTCGCTGACATTCAAGACTAACAAGAGAACGTTCGGGCCTTATGGAGTCGAAGAAGGCACGCCGTTTTCATTCCCGATGGAAGGAGGACAGATTGTTGGATTCAAGGGCCGGGCCGGATGGTACTTGGACGCCATCGGCTTCCATATAACTAAAACAAGAACAGTGGCCAACGTCGTGCAGAAAGCTCAGCAGAGGTTCCGGCGCCTTACGAGCTCGTTATCTTTAGCCCCTCTTAGGGATGGCGATGAAGCCCGGAAGTACGGGAAACCTCTTGGATAGACAAGATTATACTTCTCTTCGGAATCTTGTTAGGTTATCTGTACTGTAATAAGCACTTGGTCTTGGATCAAGTCGGTCGTGTTCGAGTTAAGGAGAATTATAATTAATAAATGATTTAGAATGTATTAGTACAACATGATGTATACAAATATAATTATATACTTAATTTTATTAAAAATTTAAATTAGAAAATTTAAAATAAAATTAAGATTTATTAAAAAAAAAAAAAAAAAAAAAAAAGAGAAAGTGATATAAAATGCGGGATGGAATGAATATTTTAAATGGTTGTGTATAATATGATTTGGTTAATTTGGAGTCCTTTTCAAGATGGACTTTAATAAGGTCTATGAAGTAGGCCCAAGATATTAGTATATATTATGTCCATATGGGCCCAAACAATGATATATATATATATATTTACATATTAAATAAATTTAATAGTACATTTAATTTAGTGTGATTTACAAAATTAATTTTTAGATGATAACAAAATAAAATGAATATGATGTTATTAGTCATCAATATCAACACTAATACTATTATTATTTATAATTTTAAATAAAAAATACTAAATGAATTATTAGATAGGTTCATTTTGTATTTTTGAATAAATATTTTTTTTTATCTTATATAGGAATAATCATATAAATAATATAAAAATATTTTTTTTTTATTGAATTTTTTATTTTTTTTGAGTGAATATATATTATATGTATTAATATTTTATATTTTATGTAGTATAATATAAATGGAAAATTGTGCATAAAGTTTAGTGAACAAATCCATTGTTTATACTTCATTCATCTCAAATATTTTGTTATTGATTTTAAGTTAGAATGTCTTACAAATTTTATAATTTTCATTATTTATACATTATTCCCACAACTTGTGTAACAAATAAGATTTAAAGGTATTGAAAATCTAAACTTATGAACGTCACAAATTTAACTTCTCATTATTAGATTTATGAACGTCACAAATTTAACTTCTCATTATTAAATTATTCTTTACCGATAAAGAAGATACATAGAATAAATATATTATAAGAAAAGATATATATATATATTGTGGGCTCATTTAATACTTATATATTTGTTCACCAATGTACATAGTCATTTTTGACAACATACAAATTATTTTTCATAAATGTTTCAAGTAAAATTTTCATTTACTTTAAAATTATAGTTAAATTCACTTGATATTATCAATGTTTAACAATAGATACAAATGGAAGTTATCAAAATATTCACATAGATATGAATTATCATCACATATTATATTAATTCACATTATTTAATATAAATTTATACTTAATGTGAACTAATCAACACCATTTCATCCCTGAAGTTCATCGAGAAAAATGCAATGATTTATTTATTTGGTCGAATTTAAGATCATACTAACCAACGATCCAAATGGGACATTAACACATACATCTCGTTTCTTCAATAAATTTCATATTGATACACTCAAACTTATTGATATATAATCTTTCCAAATAAACAAAACATCGAAGAAAAAAAGAAAAAAAAAAAAAAATCTCTTACAAAACAATTTACACACTGAAAGACGGCTAGAAGAGCTCTACATTTAGTTGAATACTTATATCCCAAATTATCAAGCAAAATTGTGTTTCTTTTTTAGTTGGTTTAAAAAAAAATTATTTGAATTTTGTATTAAAATAATATATGATGTGATGTCAAGATATGCAAATTTTAAATAGTAAAATTTAGAGGGTTTTGAGTTAAAGAAATAAATCCAAACCAAATTACTAATACATATGAACAATATATAGTATGAAAAGGTTTTTGCAAATGAAAATGTGATAGTATCAATATTCTCTACAATTTGACTTCATTGGCTTAAGAATATCTCCAACCATGCTCCATATCTGGCGTTTCAAAACTATTTTTGCCGCCGAGCTGCTCCAATCCAGCGTCATTCCCAGCACCAAATTTAGAGTTTCCTACATTGCAACACCATTTTTTTTTTAATTTCTTTTTAAATTATAAATTTAATTTTTATTTTTTAAAAAAATTTTAAATTTTATTTTAAATTATAAAAATAAAAAGTTATTTAAAATAATAGGAAAAATTGAATATTTGAAGAATAATAGTAAAAAATGGAGTTATGATTGAAGTAAAATTACTCTAGCAACCGCATATTTAGAGTTAAAACTAGATAAATGGAGATGATGGGTTGGAGATGGCCTAAGTAAATTTATCATCATCTAACTAAATTTCAGTTCAAAACTCACATACACAATTGATCCAAATTACTTTAAAGTGAACATTTAGAAAAAAAAAATATATATACTTAAATAAGAAATCATATTTGAAATTGTTAATATGTAATTTGACTAGATTTACTAAAATACTAAATAGTTGAATAATCCAAATCTTGAGTGACTTGTAAACAGTTTTATATTTTTTTTTCTTTAATATTATAGAAATAAAAAAAAAATTGTTATTTTCAATATGTATATATATATATGCACAATCAATTTCAATAATAACATCAATTTTTTAAAAAAATCAAAGTTAGTTACAATACAATTAATACACCAAAAATAATGTATTATTGACCATACTCAATAAATTTTGGTGATGCAACCATCACATATTTCAATACATCATTTGATATAAATAGAATATAGTTGTATTTAGTTTACATAAAATATTAAAAATAAAATTTTTTATATAAAAATAAAATTGTAACACATCAATTATAACAACACAATATATAATGTGAATAGAATACAATTATAATTATTGTAAGTAAAATATCAAATATGAAATTTTATACTACCTTCGTCCCAAAAGATTCATTTGACTTTTTCGTAAATCTTTAAATATTAATTATTATATCAATATGTAGTACAAATAATAAAAAAGACAAAAACTCTATCAGGGTCTGTTTGGTTCGAGGGTTTAGGAGGGGAGGGGAAGGGATGAAATTTTAAAATTTTTTGTGTTTGGTTCAAGTTTTTTTTAGAGGGGAGGGGAAGTGAAGGGAAGGGAAGGAATTTAATTTGTTTAGATTTTTATTCCCCTCCAATTTGGGGGAATTTGGAGGGGAGGGATTTTATTAAACAAATTTAGTCTATTATACCCTTTTTAACATTTTATTAAATTTTTATAATATTATATAAATTTTACCATATCTATTGTTATATTTGTATATAAAATTATTTTTTTTATTTTGATTTTTTAATAAATACTTATGTTATTTAAAACAAATCACATTAATTTAATTCAAATGTATTTTAAAATAGTTTTAAATAAATTTAATCGAAGTTATTTTATAATTAAGTATATATTTTAATTAATTCTGTTTTAATGATTTGATTTACTTTAATAATTAATTTAATTTATATAAGTAGATTTGAATTTTATACGAAGACTTGGCCTTTATTATATACTTACTTAAAATATGATTTTCTGTTATGTTATTACTATTTATAAGTAAATTATGGTTTATCTATATTGGTGATGTTAATAAATATATAATGTATGATTAAGTAAATTATCATTTAACTTATTATATTCTCTCATTCATTTTTATTATTATTATGATTATTATTATTATTATTATCAAATAGATAGATACGTTCAATTTTTGAATTAATTTGATTTTTTACGACATTTCATAGGTTTTGGTGAAATTAAGGAATTGCCTAAAATTGTCATTTTTCTTCTTAATCGAATACACATAGTGTAAATGTACGTTGAACATTTTTTATCATTTTAGTTTTCACATACATTGATTTGTATTTTTATTATGTATTTTTTCCATGTTCGATGTCGTATTATAGAATTTTTCTATTTAATTATATTATTATGAAGTGTTGTTTTTAATTAAAAAAAAAAAAATTACATCATCACATATATATTTTCTATCAATTTTCTTTCTTTCTTTCAAAGTGCGTTTGTAAGATATGCTACAGCTAACCAAATGTGGTTAGATTACGATTTTGATTGTTATTTAGATGAATAATATGCAGATCGGTTTCTATGTATATGGTGTTTGGCTCTTCCGATGCTTTATAATGTAATTTTTGTTTTATTATATTAGACAAATAAATTTTATATCATGCTTTATGAATAAATTAATCAACTTTTATTAAATACTTATATATATATATATAATATAGGGACAAAATAGTAAAATTATTTTATTTTTCTTTCCCTCTTCTGTCCAACCAAACACAAAAATATTATTTTCGCTACCCTCGCCTCCCTTCCCTTCCATGAACCAAACACGCTGTTACAATTTTAATATTGTCTTCCCTCTCTTGGCCTCCCTTCCCTTTCATTAAATTTCCTCCCCTCATTTGAACCAAAGAGACCTTAGTCTCTTGAAGACAAATATAGTGATATTTATTAAATAAATTATACAAATATAAATATACTTTTAATATTAAATACAATAACATAAAAAACAAACGATGCTATTTTTACCGGGACCGGAGTAATATTACAATAATTTATGCAATTTTTTTTATAAAACTTAGTATAATTAAAATTATTTGAAATAACCCAACTCATTACAAAACACAATATATGATGTAAATAAGCTAAAGTTGCACCAAGGGTTTGTTGGATTGAATTTGTTTAAATGATTCAAATTTATATAGTAACACAAGTTCTATTGTACTGTTTCTGTCTGTTATAAGAAATTATATGTTTTTCATTTTAATATATTTCATAATTAATATATATTTTTTATTTAATAAAACTTATTAATTAATTATCTATTAAAGAAAATATGAATAAATTCAATTAACTTCATGATATTATACATCATATAAGATTAACTGAAAATTCTTTTATTTTTACATCTTACTTCAATAAACAAGGTTATATATATATATATATATATATCTTTAAAATTTCTCATCTTCTATAAAATTAATATATTTTAATTATAAATAAATATATTTGTAAAATTTTAATTTTGATATTCATATTGCATGGAGTATATATTATTTTGAAATACTATAATTTTTAAAATAATTAAAATACATATTCTAAATTCTCTTAATCATATTAGTTTTTATTTAAAATTATTAATAATATCACTTATATAAAAATAATATAATAATATCATAATAATACATTATTATTAATTAATTAAATTTACTGTATTAAATATCGTATCATAAATCAAAATATCATTTGTTACGGAATAAAAAATATTATTTTATATTACAATAACAGTATTTTTATATAAAATTACCCACAAAAATAAAAAATGAAAATATTAAAAATTTAATACATAATTTGTTTATCCAATAATTTTTTTGGACAATTTTTTACAAACTAAAATATTATTATTATTTTTTATATTATAAACATAATTATTTCTCTCACAAGAAACTTTTTTAATGTGAAATACAAAAAAATTTATATAGAGAATGTAAAAATAATGAATATATATAATATTGTCTTCCTCTATTTTCTAACGTCCTAATTAATGTTTTTATATATATTTAGGTAATTAATTTTTTATTATAAAATGATAAATTTATTCTTTATTTTTTGTATAAAAAAAATGGTAAATAAAATAAAGACAAAAGATTAAATTTTGTTTATAAATATATAAATGCGACCATAATTATTGGGCATTCCAATAGAAACTTAGAATGTTAGTTTGTGGATTGATGAAGTATGTTATATTTTTTTGGTAAAGTATGAAAAAAAATCACTTATGGTTTCTCGAATTGGCTAAAAAATCCTCTGATTTTAAAATTTAAAAAAACTTAGTTGTGGTTTTCAAAATATTTAAGACTTGGCCCTCCCTAGTTTTCTTCTTCTTTCTTCTTCTTTTTTCTCACTCTTTTCACTTTTGTTTCTTCCATTTTCTTTCATATTTTTCACGGTAATGTCATTTTTATCTTTTTCTTTCGAATTAATTTTTCAATTCATATATGAACATTCACACAGATTCAATTTCTAGAATCGCACCATCAAATATTCAAAAATAAAAAATCCCAAAAATTGAAAATTGATATAATAATTAGAGCGAAATCCGAAGAAATCCATGAAATTCCATAAGCACAATCAGTGGGTGATTTGCTATTTTTTTTTATTATTATTATTATTTCCTTAGATAATAAGAATTTAATATATTAATCACATAAAAAAAATGAATTTTACTATTTATTTAAGAAAATTGAGCTTGAAAGCGGGAAGGGAGAAAGGATTTTCTAATTACTGTACAAGAACAAATCTATTCTTAGTCTAATGTAAGTTACAAAGAAACAAACTAAACTACGGATCTACATTCAAATATTTAAATTTCCTCCACAAACAACCGTGTCAGCTTCTTTTGTCGGCAGATGTTTGTCTGAGCCACCGCTGATGTTGCTCTTCTTCGGTGGTGGAGAAACTTTCATCTAGGGCAAATTACTGAATTCTTTCTTAAAATCGAAGAATTAAATAAATACACTACCAAATGATTCTCAATTACACCATCGTTGGAGCTCCATTTTTCCTTGTTGTTTTTAAGATAACATATTGAAATAATAGAAGGAAGAAGAAAGAAAGAGGAAGAAAATGATAAAAATGGTGAAGCAGCGAGAAAATAAGTTTTATTAATTTATGTCCAAAGAATAGCAGTCTGAGCTTGTGAAATATAACCACAATTAAATTCTAACAAAAAGATGATTTTTTTGCAATATTTTAGAAATTACGAGTAAATTTTATTGAAATTTTAATACCAAAGGAGTGTCCAGCAAATTCGAGAAATCATAAAAAATTTTCTTTTTTTACTATTTTGCCTATTTATTTATTTAAAAAAAAAAAAACCTCCGTATATTTCCAATATAATAATATATTTGTAATAAAAAAATATATTATTACAAGAAAATCTCCTTCCTCTCTCTCTTACACCCCCAAATATAAGCAATCAAAAATCCTACTGTCAACACAACTCTCTCTGTCCCTTCTCTCCTTTCTCTCTCTTCCTCTCAGTTGAGTTCTCCTCGCTGGCAATAAGCATACCGAATAGTTTGTTTGATACCATTTCCTCCTTCCTCTCCTCTCCAGTCACAAACCCTGCTCTGCTCTGCAGTTCTTTCCTGCCTCCCTCATCACCCCCCACCGCCACCGAAATAATGTACACATGAAAGTGCTCCTACCAATTCCTTTCTCCTCTCCTCTCCAGAATCTCGATTCAAAAAACTTAACCGTTTCCTAACACCGGGCCCGGGCCGGGCCTTCTCCGACAAGCTGATTCTGTGAAGAAAGCTGACACCTTTTTCCCTTGGAAGTCGCAGAAATATTGGTGAGGTAAAAGGAGGAATTGATGGATGGAGCTCTCGGATTTTCCGGAGATTGAAAAGGATGAATAGCTGAGGAGCCAGCCTGCAGTTTCTCTGCGGTAAATTCTTCACCAGATCTGCAATCTTCCTCATAAACCCTAATTTAATCCTCCAGCTTTGCTTTCCCCCCTTTCGTCTGATTTTTTTTTTTTTTTTATTTTCTGATTGATTGATTGCCATTTCTAGGTTTTCAGTGGAATGTGGGAGGGTTTTGTGTTTGATTAACGTTTAGTGGGCTTTTGGTTGAAGAAGTAACTTCCATTTTTGATTTGGGGTTGGAACTGGAAATGGTGAGCTCTGAAGAAGACCCTAACAAGGGCATTGATGCGTCGGTGGGCGGGTTGGTTTGGGTCCGTCGGAGAAACGGGTCGTGGTGGCCGGGTCGGATCCTCAGCCCAGATGAGCTGCCGGAGGGCTGCGTGCCGACGCCCAAGGCCGGCACTCCTGTGAAGCTTCTTGGTAGAGAAGATGCTAGTGTGTAAGTATATATATATATATATACATTTATATATGTATAGATTGCTGATTTTTAGTTGCTCCATTGTTGATTGATTGATAAATTGATTGGATTGTTGTTTTTATGCTTTTTGCATCAATGAGGTTTCTGATTAAGTAGTTTCTTCGAAGAATTTGCTATAGGATATTGATGCTGAGAATTGGAGATCATTTTTGAGCTGTTGAGCTTCTTGTTGTGTTGATTGTGTTTGTAGGGATCTATGTTTCGGTTTAAAATGATCGATTTTCGAGGTGTTGAGCTTCTTGTTGTGTTGATTGCGTTTGTCGGTATCTATGTCGGTATCTATGTTTCGGTTTATAAAGTTAGATTTTCAAGGTGCTGAGCTTCTTGTTGTGTTGATTGTGTTTGTCGGTATCTATATTTCGGTTTAAAACGTTTGTTGGGATCTATGTTTTGGTTTAAAACGGTTGATTTTCGATCTGTTGAGCTTCTTGTTGTGTTGATTGTGTTTGTTGGTATCTATGTTTCGGTTTAAAATGTTTGTTGGTGTCTATGTTTCGGTTTAAAACATTTGTTGGGATCTATGTTTTGGTTTAAAAAACGTTTTATTTTCGGTCTGTTAAGCTTCTTGTTGTGTTGATTGTGTTTGTCGGGATCTGTGTTTCGATTTAAAACGTTCGAATCTGCTTTAAATAGCTCGTGGAATCCACGTGTGGTTTCTATACGTCGCTTCTCTGAAATCGTGTGGAATAAAGTATTATGACGAAATATTCGGTTGTTTAGTTTGGATTCGATTGATTACGCCAAAAATTGTGATCTTCAGTTGGTGCTTTGGTGTGTCGTTTATGCTTTTATGCGCACTTTTTTTGACGGGAAATAGGTGTATTGGACTTGCCATTTGAGTCGATAACTGTAACAGACGATATCTTAGTCCTGTAGAAACTTACAACGTGTACACTTTTGCAATTCATTGGCGTATTAAATTTAAAAATAGCGAACATGGATTGTCTAATAAAACTGTAGTTTAATCTTCTTTGTGTTGTTCGTCATGTTCTTGAAGCGATTTGATTAATCTTGAGATATACTGATTCCTACGTCGTTACAGGGACTGGTATAACCTGGAGAAATCAAAAAGGATTAAACCTTTTCACTGTGGAGAGTACGAAGACTGCATCAAGAAAGCCAAGTCAGGCGCGTCTCAACTTTTAAAGAAAGGAGTCAAATACGCTCGACGAGAAGATGCGATTCTTCATGCACTCGAAATCGAAAATGCCCGTCTTCAAAAGGACCTTCCGGATCTTTCCGGAACACCAGATACAAAAAACAGTGAGCAACAAAATCGCGCTGACGAACCTTCCGTGCTCAATCCTAGCAAAGAAAACAAAGATGTCGACAAGGGTAATAGCTCTGGGGACGGTTCGGATTCAGCTCAGGAACGATCCCAGTCAGGAGTGTCGTTCGAGGAGCCCGAGCGTGCGGTCGTAGACGATAAAGAACCGAAGCAGCGGAAAACTCCAAACGATTCTGAGGACGACGGGCCGGGAGGAGCGAAACGGATGAAAGGACTTCAGGATTTGGGGATGGGCGCAGCGTTGCCGGCGAAGAGGAAAAGATCGCAAGTTGCTCATGTCCATGAATTCTTGAAAAAGAAGAATCGACGGCGCACTATGACGAAAGTTTTAGAGAGTACTACAGCATTGCCAGTTCCTGCCGCAAACGAGCAACCGTCCAGCCCTGTCGAACCTTCTGCGCAGATAGCTTCCGACAACAACAAGACTTCTGAGTTGGAATCCTACGAGTCGAAGAATAGCAACTCTGTTCTCGTCAATAATAACTCGGATAGTAATGGCACTTCATGCGAAGACGCGACGCCGCTGGATGCGGCGGGGACTAAACAGAAAGACGCCGAGCAATCTGCAGGTACAATCTCCAAGTATCGAATATATGCTCGAATGTTGATTGGATCGATTATTTTGCTATGCAACACATGACAAATTGGTCTTAATTTGGTTGCGAATGTCGACAGGCACGAAGATCCCGTCTCTTTCTAATGCGTCAAAGAAGGCTCCAATCGGCGCCAAAAACGAATCTAGCCGTAGTAGTCGCGTCGAAGAGCACAATGAGTCGGGTTCAACGAGTTCGGGCGCTGCGAATATCCCTCAAATCAGTACCGATAAACCAGAGAAAGGCGCATCTGATTGGCAGATAAAAGGGAAGAGGAATTCTAGGTCGAGAAAGGTTGATATCGACAATGAAGCTGAAACAAACTTGCCAGGCGCCGACGAGGATCCCAAGCCTGCAAAGTCGAGGCCAATTACCGAAATCCAGCTCGGCTGGAACCGAAGTTCTCCAAAAGAAACCCAGTCCGCTCCTCCGAGAATGCTCCCGTATCGCCAGTCTCGTTTCACAGTCAACCCGAAGTACGAGGCCTCCGAATTTTCGCTCAGCCACCACATTGCGGGACCTAACATTTACGAAGTGACGATCACAGTGAAAACGGAGTACAAGCCGCAGCACGTCCCATACATTTCCCTTATGAGCAAGTTCAACAGCGACCCAATTGTAGGGCACCCTCTCACAGTCGAGGCGGTCGACGAAGACTTCTGCAACGACTTAATCAGCGCCGGAAATTCTAAGTTAGAGCTCGACGATCCGGGAGAAGGCAAGGAAGCTTCGAAAGGTGGCGGAAAGTCTAAAAAGGTAAAGTCAGGGCGAGGTAAGCGAAACAGAAAGCAGGGATCACGCGGGCAGTCGGGAAAAGCTCCGAGGAAGAGCGTGGCGGCGATGTCAAAGAAGATTCGGAAACTGTCTTCCCTGACAGGATCACAGAGAATGAGCAAAGAATTGCAGAAAAGGAAGAAGAAGAAAGCGGGAGAAGGCGCGGAAAAGATGAGGGGACCGTCGGTAGCTTGTGTCCCGTTGACGGTAGTTTTCAGTCGGATAAACGCGGCGTTGGCGTGATCGGGATTGCGATCGGGATCGATGGATGGATTAGGTTAAAAGGGATATAGAGAAGATGAAGTATGGATTTGGTTCTTGAAGGTAGAGTTGTTGTTTTTAACCAATAATGGTGATGAAAGAAAGGAAACACAAAACAGGGAAAGACTTTTAGTGTGTGTTTTTAGAGAGAGAGAGAGAGAGAGAGAGAAGCTTTTGTTGTACATAAAAGTGCAGATGGCTTCATAGTTCTGATGCTGCTACTTTGTTGTCTATTTGATGTTTTGTTTTGTTTTGTTTTATGGGTGAAAGGAAGTAAGGATTGGGATGTTAGACATAGACATTGAGATTAGACTAACCTTTTGATTTTGAACCTTAGTTTGGATTTCCATTTTTAGCCCTTTTCGTTCTCTTTTTCTTTGTTGTTTTTATGTGAACTTATAGCCGTTATTTTTCGAATACGTACATAATTGTTTTGGGCCAAGCTCACTAATGTGCAAATTATATTAACCAGAGAAGCTATTCGAAAAAAGTTATTAGAAACAAATTCGATGGAGAATGCATACATGGAAAAACCACCCTACCACTACATTTCAAATGATCATGCTATAACTTGCAAACTATGTAATTCACCCTAAGCAAACTCTAGAAGATAGGCTCAGCGAAGAACACCTTATATTTATTTTTCGAATGTATACGGATAAACTCTCGAGCTGGACATAATAGCTTGCAAATCACGCTAGCTGAATAAGAGTACAAACAATGGCGCCTTCCTGTTGACGGCTTCTTTACTTATTTTGATAGCAAAAACATTCAACGGAGTGGCCTAGGACAAAATTTCGACCGAACCTTGACTCTGCCTGGTGAAGAAGAAGCCACCGCGATTGTTTTTCCTTCTCATTTCTTTCCGCAATATCGTTTTCTCTTCTTCAAAATTTTTACATTTTGCATTTTCAAACAAATTTATTTTATATATGGACAAAGAATTTTCCCACCCTAGACAATTGCTTGCAAATCACACCAGCCGAAAGAACCACCCCAAGCAAAGCTACGGATAATAGATTCGACCCGAAGAAATTGGAAAAGCCACCTTAACCAAGTGAGCTTAGGTTAGCTGAATTGGGGTGGCCCTTAATGGATTGGGGGCTGGGTTGCATGGGTCTGATTCGAGTCGGGTTGAATTCAGTGGATCGATCCACACTTTATTGAGCCAAACTCAAATTAATCGAGAAAATAATATCCACCGCAACCACTAGAGCGATGATAACAGGAAGAAACAAGGTCATCAACTTATAACCGTGAAATTATGTATTCAAATTTTCGATACTTTCAGAGGTAAGAAAGCAAGATCATCAACCTATGACCGTGAAATTATGAATTCAAATTTTTTATATCTTCAGATCTTGTCGGCCATACATGACAAGAGCTATTTAACCCCAAAAACATTCCTTATAACATCTATTTCTCTCACAAAACATCATCTTAAAACTCCAACTTTTTAAAGTATAGCCTCCAAACAACCATTTAAAAAAGTTAAAATTTCTCCTAAACAACACTTCTGCAGCCAAATATATACCAACAAAAGCACAGAAGATACAATTAAAATAACAAAAAAGAGAGTAATGAACATAATAAACAGATGTGGAGGAACAAAAATCCATTAAGCTACAATTGCATCACCAAGTGAAGTGAAGTTTAGTTTCATACATCTACAATATCAATCTTTCTATCATCGTCATCATTATCATCTTAAGCCCACTGATGGGGGCAAAAATTAAAACATGCAACATATAGTTTATGCTTTCCATACCGAAATAAGCAAGACTTTTGAGGGTGCAGAAGATCTTACATAGTTTTGAGCTCTTACCCTCCGGAAAAAAGTGGTACCTCATCTGACTGCTCTTCACAACTCATCTGTTCTTCGACCTTTTGATGCTCTCTAACATGAAACTACTAGGAAATTGTATGAATCTTCGCTGTATCAATCAATCTTCACGGATGAATAGATCTTGCGAACGAACCAGAAGCAAGCGTAGAACCCGATGGTTCCCGTCAGCACAAAGAAGGCATACGATGCAATCAACATGTACCCAAAGTACAAAATGCCAGAAACGAATTTTGTAATTTCCAACTTGGTGAAGAAGTAGAAGACCGAGTATAGGAAAAGGTATAAAGCTGATGATCCAGAGGTGAGATAAGCTCTCCACCACCAATTATAGTCTTCACTGCACAGCTGGAAATAGCACAGAACGATTGTGATCTCGGCACATGTGATTATCAAGATGACAAAGACTATGAAGAGGAAGCCGAAGATGTAATAGAATTGGTTCAGCCAGATGGAGGTCAGGATGAAGAACAATTCGATGAAAACAGCCCCGAATGGTAGAATGCCTCCAATAAGGATGGAGAATACTGGTTTCATGTACCAGGCTTGCTCGGGTATCTGCCTAGGGATCTTGTTGGTCTTTACAGGATCCTCAATCGCGGGCTTCTTGAAACCCAAATAACTACCAACGAACACTAATGGTACTGATATCCCAAACCACAAGCACACAAGAGCAAACATGGTTCCAAAGGGTACAGCTCCAGACGACTTTTCTCCCCAAATGAGAGCATTGAGGACAAAGAAGACAGCGAAAAGAATACCAGGAAACATGAAAGCTGTCTTTAAGGTAATCCTCTTCCATTCTGTGCCCTTGAACATTTTGTAAAACCGAGAAGATGAATAGCCTGCAAACAATCCCATGAACACCCATAACAGAACCATGGCTGTCATAAGGCCCCCACGGTTGGACGGTGAGAGGAAGCCTAGCAATGCAAAGATCATTGTCACAAGAGTCATTGCGAAGATCTGAACCCCAGTTCCCAGGTAAACACACAGCAACCCGTAATTGGGGGGAGCCCTGAAAACATCACCATGTAGCAGTTTCCATCCTGTTTCTTCTTGAGCTTCATCTTGGGTTTCCAATTGATTATAGTTTGCAATATCTCGATACAGGGTTCTCATCATGATCATGGCCACCATACCAGAAAGGAAAAGAACAATCATCAAAGAGTTGATGATTGAAAACCAGTGAATTTGATCATCATTCATAAGCAGGTAAGTATCCCACCGTGACGCCCACTTAATTTCACTTTCCTACAATGCAGACTGTAGTGTTAATCTTGTGGGATATATATATATTTACAAAAAGGCAGGAAAACTAGGTAGAACAAAGAGTACCTTGAAGGTAACATCATAGGTAAATACAATATCTTTGCCAGCCTCCACTTCTTGTGGAACAGCACCCCCCTGAATGATATTTTTCGTGTTTTGGTTGCACGTTGCCACATTAGGATTCTTCTCATCCCACTCCTTGTACTCATGATTAATGCTGTTGGGGTGACATCACGCAAAGGCCAATCAAAGACAGAAGAATAGGAATTCCCATACATGGGTTTAAAAAAATTGGTACAAAGAAATAAATTTGAGTTCGTCGGTGCAAAACACACAAAAATGAAGCAAATTCAGAAAACAGATTTCACAAGTCAAACTCATAAAGCATTGAACCTGATTGGAGTAACTTCAAACCCAACAATCCGAGCAGAATTAGTTTCACGGTCTTCATGATACATAACTCTGAAGCTTAAGTGGTTATGAATAAAATGTTTCTCTTCTTTGCTCTGTACAATTAGATTCAGTTTAACAACTATAAAACATAAAAATCCACAAAAATAGGAAAATACGAACACTAACCCCAGCATAGTTTCCCTTGAACCCAACACGAAAACCATGCTCATAAGTTGGTGATGGATTTCCATCTCGCCTTTGTCTGAGAACAGCTACTGGAAGGTTATCTAGAATCCTGCATCAATGGCAGACATTGGCACCATGTTATGAGGCAAGAATCATTAGCAATATTCATGCAATATTTCAGTTAAAGAGGATGTAAGAAGAGAATGCAAAAGAAGAAATCTATAACAAGCACTTACATATTGACCCTGTACTCATCATCAATCTTTTCTTTGAAATCCTTTGCTGCTTGAGCATCAATTTTTGCTTTGCAGGCCACCGTGCAGGATTTCTCCTCCCTCATGCGAAACTAGTGTGAAGCCACCAAATCTTATATCAGGGAAGGCTTGCGCAAAGAAAATATAGAAAAATAAAACTCAGCCAGAACCAATCATAATACTCACAGTATAGACGGAATTCTCTATACGGTCTCCCCGAAGCACTTCTCCCAAGTTTTCAGCCACATTTTTTATCTTCTTTGGGGTGCAATACTTCAAGTAATAGTAGTCATAGGGAAGTTGTGTCTTAGTGGATGACAGCTTGTTCACTTTGACTTGGAGTTCATCTCCCTGTTATGTATTCAGTGAATTTAATTACACTTGAATAGAAAACGATACACAACCCAAATAAGTCCTTTGCCACATAGTTCAGTGAAGATCCAACTTAGGAGATGAAAAATCCAGGAAATTCGCAGTTGATGTCAGTGAAAACGTATGACACTCTATAGCAAGTCCGCGACAAGCATTTAGTGCCACTGTACTGTGATGCATGAATATCAGTAAGAGCATAACCAAAATATCATTAACAAACTAGATTAGGATTCTATATGGTGTGCTTGTTTGGGGATTTTGGAGTATTTTACTATTCCTCCAAAAATTCTCCCACCAAAATCATCAAATCAAACACTTTTTTTAATTATTATTACAATGAAAATCAATTTTACATTCAAAACATACATCAATACGTATTTAAATCACATCAAACAATCATTCCAATTCGAAACCCAAATCTAAGATCCAAACCCCCAAACAAACACCCCCTAGATTTTTTTATCTATTGATCAATTTCAAGTAGCGTAATAGAACAGCTGCTTAGTTAAACCAGTAAATAATAAGTTCTACCATTATTCCCATCTCCTTAATCATACAACCCTACAAACCATTCCTGTAATCCAAAGATGAAAATAAGATCAGGTGATCCAGAAGATAATATCACAATGTTACAAATGCTGACAAGTTACGCATCCTTCACTACAAGAAGAATCGCATTAACAAACAAAACAACGCATGTACAGTCAGCAAGTCAAATATTTGAACCAATATCACCAAAATGCTAATGCCCGAAAGCTCACATTTCAGCGTGAATAATGGAGAACAAATAATAAAACGACACTATACTGAATAAATAACCAAGTAGCATGATCGCCGCCAACACTAAGACACGGATCAGACACAAACTCAGCAGTTAAAAATGAAACATAAATGCAAAACCCTAGATCTCCATCAATAACCAATAAAAACATAAGAAATCAACACTCAAGCAAATAATACTCGATAAATCACGCACAACCCTCATAGATCTGCTGATCAAACAAATATTTCTAGATTTAAACTCACTAACTCCCGAATCCAACCAAAACAACAAACAAGAAACGCGAGAAAAGTCAGTACTCTTGTAAAATCGCGAGGCGCGACGCCCGGCAGATAGAAAGCTTGCGCCGATGATGCCACAAGAAGGAACCAGAAAGCAGCGGCGGCGACCCGATCCCTGATCCGACGACCCATTTCCCTCGATCCGGATCCTTCCTAGCAGATGCAACAGCTAACGTTTCGCGTAATCGGCGATGGAGCTATATATATATATATGTAAGGATATGTACGTAAATATTTTATTTAAAGAAAGGATGCGGTGAGAAGTCGTTGTCCGATCTGCCATTACGGATACAATTTTCGCATTCAGCTTAATGGCAAACTATCAAAATCGCACTTTTGAAAGCGCGACTCTAGCCTTCCATTTTTATTTTTTCTTTTTCATTTTTCTTCCTAATTATCAATTATTATTTTTTAATTCAAGTTCGATTTTTTTATATATATGATATAATCAAATCAAATTAAAAAAGAACAAGAACCTAATTTTGCTTCAAAACTACCATTATAGTGCTAATTATTTGAGGGCCAATTCAACTTATTATGATAGCAATATACTAAACCTTAATAATTATTAATACCCTAACTGCCGCCATTAATGCAATACTTAAATGATCCAAATATAGTTTGGACAAAACTGTCTTACCAAACGTCAGATCATAACTAACTTCAATGTATAGCTCCAACTACATAAAATTTAATCATTTATAAACTAAAAGAGTTTTCGCATATTTACTAATATCGAACAATATTCAACATTTCAGCATAATTGATTTATATTTATGTTCCGAAACATTAGTAGCACAATGAAGGCATCCGTAAGGTTAAATAAAAGTAACAGTTATATGTGCATATTGCATAAGAAGAAATCCGTCCATAAGCTACTTTGACAACATGAAGACTAATATAATTACGCCGGTGCTAGAGGACAATCAAGCCGTGTAACTGTCGTATCATCAAATGTTTCGAACATTGTACAAGTTCACAACAAGATTTATCAACGATAAGATTTACCGGCTCGGCTCTCCCCAGATGTAAAATCAAGAATCAGAGCATGTCAAGAGATGGGATTTGAATGTTTCCAGCTCAGCTATTACCTCGTCCTCTGGCCGGTATATGAGGTCGATCATTCGCCATATCTGCCACACAGTCCACGATTTAAATTACTCGTGTATGTTGATAACCGTCAGCAAAACATGACACATATTTGATAGACTATGAGGCTACACTACCCACAAGTAATTAAAAAATTATATACAGTTTATAATATTCAAAAGGCATATTTTAAAAATTTTGTACCATAATTTTTCATGATTTAAAAATTGCAATAGTCCATCTTGTGCTATAAAAAAGATTGCCCAGAATTCTCTAGAACTGAGTGAGGGTATTTTGTATTTAAAAAAATATTGCATAGAACCCCATTTTTCGAACATACGAGCTTTATGCAATATTTAAATGGGAGAATGGGGAGATTTTCCACAACCCAGGTGGGTTATAAATAATTTCGCCGATTCAAAACTTATTTCCTATTCAAAAACAACATCAAGTTGAAAATGATATAAAATTAATAATTATAAATTCAAAGTATATTCAAAATATAACGTTAACACTATTTATATCAAATCAAATAACTATTCAAATTTATAATTTTTACTATTCAAAATTCAAACCCAAAACCAAAACCCCCAACCAAACACACCCATATAATTTCTTCGACGACATATTATATCGTAGATATTTAAAGCATCAAAACACAAGAGTACTACTTATTACCTGCAGAGTACCGCCCCCACCAGTCTTCTCTCCATCTTCAGACACGCTGACAATTGTCCATGGATCCGCTGAGTTCCAGTGGAAATCGACCACCTTATCCCTACAAATTTGGTCGGAGAACCATTGATGAAAACAGGAGGAACATTGAAGGGATGGAGGATTACATGGAAAGTATAAAATGTTAGAGATAGAGATTGCATGCCAAGTACCTGTGCCCGGCATGTCGGAAAAACAGTCCTGACGGGTAATTTGCATCTTCTGCTCCTGGGTTATCCTCCACCTTGCCAATCTGGGTCATCAAATTTTTAATTGTACCAGTAAATAGAGAGCATCATCGAATAAATAGGTTTAATTTAGGCATTCTCTAGAACCTAATGAATTGTAAGCCAGACACAAAAGTTTGTACGGAAGAAGAGCTAGGCAATGTATAATTAATAATCCAAAAATTTTACCTTCCCATGATCCCAGATATTCAAGATACCATCTTCTGCTGCACTGCCAAAGACTGTTCCCTTCTCCGGAGACCACTGCAGTATTTTTCTTCGAGATTAATTGCTATGAAGAAAGAAATAAAATCATTTGACAATTGAGAATACAAGATATCGGTGTAGCACATACCTGAACGCAAAGCACAGCTGCACTGTGCCCTTCAAATATGTGAATAGGGGTTCCAACTCGTCCAGAATTAAGATTCCGGCGATCAAACATACGTACTGTATTATCAGCAGATCTGCAAGAGATAGAGAATGTTCAAAACCAAAACAAAGGCTTAGGATACAGCATAAATCAATTAAATCAACAGACAGATGTGGCTACCAAGCATTTGTAGTCATTAAATAAAAGTAAAAAGGTACCCTGTCAAAATTAGATTGACATCATTGGGATTCCAGTCGACACAATGAAGATCAGCATCATGGGCTTTTTCAACCTGCAAGAAAAGCCAAAACCAAGGCAGCTAAAAGAATAAGATACAATACCGGAAGCATTTTAAGCAACTAGAAATTTAGTGGGTAAAAACTTAAAGATGAAGACAGGGGCAGTGCAGGATCATAAGCACAAGATCAATACATCTTCACAAGAGTTTACTTTAAATATTTCATAATTACGAGATATCTGAACATTAGAACCACACAAGTCACCCTGTAGAAAACTCAATTTTCTTGCCATAATCATAGTTGTCAATAGCTAATATGCATAGCAAAGCGGGAGTCCGCCACTCTACAATGCTGCATTTACGCTATAGCAGCCCCTTTTAGTGTTGGTGAGGTGTAGTGCAGTGCAGAGCAACGGAAGCTATATGTTTGCTTTTACATGTAAAAATTCTACAAAGAGAAATTACATTGTACAAGGTGAGGAACATACAATGAAAGAAACAAATGAAGATGAAGAAGAAATACTGGTCTAGGATAATTGTTTAGTACCAATGATGGTGAAAATGAGGAAGAAAAATATTTATAGATCTTTGAATCTGATTAACCTTGATTATCTATTTGTAGTGATCTATAATCATTTGACATTTTATTGTTAAGACTGATGACTATGATATTAATTTAGAGATTTTATAATGCATTTTTATTGTAATATTATATATACAATAAGTGTTATAGGTATAGTTTTTAAGTAGTGGATATAGCATTTCAGAGATTGGCCATTATGTCGTTGTCCGAGATTGACAACTATAGCCATAATTTTATTTCCTAAATTACTCCAAATTATCAGAACAATATTGGCAATATAACCTATTTTCTGCCCAAATACACGATGCTTATTACCTGTACACATGATTTTTCCAATATAATAGATGTTATCATAACTGCAAAACTGTTAGTTCAATGTGTTTTTTATTGGTTGATTAAACAAACTCACAAGTTACAATTCACCAACAAATTTTAATCTACTTAAGAGTGGGAGGTAATAAATTGGAAGGAATCTTGGGTCTTGTGACAAAAGCCAGTATTGAAGTAATATGCCTTTAATTTATTGATGTAAAATGAAGCTATTAAATTGAAGAAAAATCAAAAGCTGAGAAAATTAACCTTTATGGCAGGAGAATTGCCCGTTCTGGCATCCCACAATATGAGGCAAGAATCATCACCAACACTGCAGAACTCCTGTGCACTATATGAAAAATGAACCCAATGTCATACTTCATATATCATGAATCATTCATATGTAGTAAAAGTTTTAGGAACACAAAATCATTCTCCAGCAGTTTGAGGTAAGCAGCATCTGATGCATGATCTCAAACCACTGACATACTTACCTTACGTTTCATACTGCATGACTGATGCTGAAAGACACATGGTCAGTTGCACTCAAAACCAATGGAGGGTTCAACTTAGAGCATAGTACCTTGATGGATTGAACTGCACATCTTCAACAGTATCCTCATGCCCGAGGAAAATTCCACGAGCTTGAACAGTGGGGCCATCTGCAGTTTTACCGTTGACTAAACTGCCCTTGGTGGATCCTGGAGACTTTTGAGCTCCCTGATCTGCTGCCAAAGAAGTTATATGATCCTGGATGCTCCACAAAACCACAGACCTGTCCTTGCCTGCACCAAATTCTTTATGTTCACATGACAACCGAGGACACTTCTACACAAATGAAGAAATGATAAAAAGGCTGGACAAGCTAAAAATTGGAGTATTTAAAACACATTTTGACAGACATGTGACAAAATAATATGGAGAAGATAAGAGCACAAATAAGCAACAAAACAAGATGATGACCCCATGAGTCTTTAAAAGTGGTGCGAAGACGAGCACGGATTCCTAAAGTTAGCAAAATCAACATCACTATAACAGAACATGACCACCAATCAAAATTGTTAGCAAGCAGAGAATACTTATTTCAATAGACAATAAGTACAAACATTTATTAGATAAAGGGGAATTGAATTTCATAATTAAGGGATCAATGTCATAAAGCCAGCTATCTACAAGGGTCACAATCTCCTGGAAGCCTATGAAAGGACTTTCATCATATGAAATCATCTGTCCAATACTACATGCTGCTTGTATGTATTTTCCTAAAGGTAATATGAACAAAATTGGCAATCAATCACTGGGCAAAACATTTTATTCATGGTATGGTTAAGCTAGCCAACATATATTAAATGATTTTTGCAAGCAAGTGAACATGCACACAAATATATAAGTAGACAGGAGGATGTCAATGGGGGGAAATTTTAGGACCTCCAGATAGCACAGAGGGCTCCGTAGGACACATAGCTAAAGCGAATTCGGCATTATCTTTATGTCCAGTAAGTACCTGCAATATATTGGCCATCAATTTATCAAGGAAAAAGGATTGCCAGTCAAAGAACCTGTCAAAGAAATATAGTTTGCTACTCTGGAAAGTAAAGAAAAGGCTAGGAATTTGAATGAAAATACACATAATCAGGGAACATAATTTTTTGAGATCATCAACAGCTCACAAGTCATAATAGAAATGAGTCAAGTAGGGCAAGATAGCTGCTAATTCAAAACTAGAAGATCTCAGTTTTCCATGATTGCTCACCAGATCAGGACGAGATGGTGCAGCACCTAAAACAGGTTGCCGATTAGGTTGACTTTCAACATCCCAAATGAGAACCTAACACCAATTTGAAGATTCAGCAGCATATCACTTTCCAACTTTAAACATAGACCAGGGAAAAGAGCAATATATATTAAAAGAAGATTGCCAAATTCTGAATCTTCGAAAAAAAAAAAGGAATTCTTACATCAGGGCTGTCAGTGTGAGTGGCCACAATGTTGCTATTCTGTGGCAGTTCCCTAATTCTATTCACCTGTAATGAGAGTCATAAATGTTAAACTCTCCATTGTTTAAGATAAATTCATGTTCAATGCATTTGAATTCCATTGAGGGGCTAATTGGGCGTCAAAGAATTTTAATCTTGAATTTGAAAGGAAATTCACGAGATTCACATAGCTGCATCAATATCTTAGCAATTGGCACAAAACATATTCATGTACTTTCAATACTAAACTTCAAGTTTCAGCATAAACATTAATCTATTACAATCATACTAGACAAACAATAAGGTTTTCAATGTGTAAACTTAAAATCTGCTACAAGCAACCATAAGTCCATGAAAACAACAAACTGATCCAAGCATTCAGGAAAGAAACAATAATCACAAATATCAATGATTAGGTTTTTTCACTTTTACTGCAATTGGTAAGTAATAGGATAGATACCTCGCCAGGATGTATGATTGTCTTGTTCTTCTTCACAAAAGGTGAGCGTGACTCTTCATTGAACTGAAAAATGAGAGGCAAATTGCCAAGCCAATAAAGAAATATGCATCAATATCGGAATTGATACAAAGGATACTCTGTATCAAACAAAGATCATTTAACTCAAGTTTAGATGTTACTACTTGAGCTATGTGCTCTGCTGCAGCAACTCTAGCCTTTACAACTTCAACATTTGCTATGACAAGTGTGTTTGGAACACTGCCATCTGTCTAAACAAATGCAGGAGAAATGGTAAACAGGGACATCCAATATTTGATATTTGACAGTACGCAGCTATAAAAAGCACACGCATCTCAGCAACCATAAAAAGCACTTCAAAGTAAAATCATATTATAGATGGCAAAAAAGATCACCTGCGTGCACATTCTGTGTTTCAAATTAACAAACTTGTAGGTTCTTATTAGAGCCAAGTAAAGGATAAGGAATGTAAAATGAAAAGGCCAGAGGATAGTCATATAATGGACAAACCATTTGATTAAACACAGCATTTTGTTTATTTCCTATATTTTCTTATTTTAGAGTTCATAGTGATGAACAGCCACAACCAATAAGGCACCTGAGAACTGATCTAACATTACTGTTACTTGCTGCAACAAGAATAGATCAAGTACAACTTGCTCTCATCTATAGATCAACCATCTCTAACTTCTGACAGGTTACTCACATTAGGTAAGTGAATAACCTAGCATCCAATAAATATCGTATTATGTTGCTTATTTCAAGCTAGCCAACCTAGTGTCTTCTGCATAGATATATCCGACATGCTTAAATGTTGGCGACATGCAACAGAAACAGAAGAACCAGAGAACTATCACTTTGAGAATGCACAACCATATGAAATTATGTTTCTCTTTTTTCTCCACCAAAAATGAGTCCTCACTACATACGGTGCATGTCCATAATAGCACTCCTCTATTCTCTAAATACATTATGAAGGTCTACACTTCAAATAGAAGAAAATTCCAGCTCCAACCATTATTATTAAATAAATTAAATCTTACCTGTTCAGAGAGGTAAAGGCGCTGACGATTCTTGTAAGTTGCTTGTTCCACTTGTGGCCCCCATCTGCAATAATACAAACATAGGTAAATTTAAAATTGCTCAATTTTGTGCAATTTTCGTATTCTTTTTGGCAAGTACTCTCAGTGAAGACAAATGGATGGACATTTATGACAAACTATTATATGTCATATGTAATCAGAAAGACTAAAATTTTAGGAAAGATAATAATCTGCATGTAGGTAGTAGGTACAAAAGCTTCCAATGGCCATTTGTGAGCCTCAAAACTATTTTGGAACTATAAGCGTATGTTTCTTCCATTCCTGGTTCAGTTTTTCTGAAATGAGGAATTGATGATTTCCATTATTCCATCCCTTTAACTTGCCCAAATATCTTAATGAGTTATACCAAACAAATCCCAGGAAGCTCATCATTGTCAATAAGTTTATTGTAACCATAAATTCTGGAAACACCAGTGTCTCAGCTCATTTCCTCAAGATCAACCATTGATCCCATAACAAAAATTGACCATCCAAATCCTAAAGTTCACTATAAAAATGAGCAATGCAAGACTGTTGGAAGGTATAATTTTATGGTGTCTAATAAAAACAAGTGAAATCTAGTTCTAGTCCACAAACTCTTATCATTCCCAAAACCTCATCCTAGCATCTATAGTAGAAGTTGGGGAACTACTCATCTAAACATCAGTCTTGCACATCGATGAGGCCTAAGTTGCAGTATTTTATTTATTTATTTATTTTTTTTTTGTGGAAACTCACAATTTTTTAAAAAATAGAAACAAACAAACAAACAAAAATAACAGTATTGGTTACATAGCGCCAACAATGAGCAGAGTTATAGCTTAGATAGAAGACATACATAGCAAGCTCACAACCAACATTTCACACTCAACAACAAACGTCGAACAAAAATCTAGTTCTCCATGCATTTGTGCATCAAAATTCTAAACAACAAAACTCCCAAAGCTTCACCAAACAACTCCAAATTCAAACAAAATTTGCCAAACAAGCAACACTCAAACTTCACAAACAAGAACCGGAATAATACACAGCAACCAAAACAAAACCCTAGTGGCATTTGGAGAGCAAAAGGAAATAACCGGCAAGAGAGGGAGGGCCAAACGAGGTTGTGATTCGCAAGCCAGTCGTACAGCACAGGTATCAAGGACTTCCACTGTGCATAACGCTCCTCCACAGGACGTTCCGCCGCGTTCTCCATTTCTCCTCCGGCGACTGCTCCCTTTACTGTGCTCTGCGAGTGAAGGGGTTTTAGCACTTTATATTGGGTCGGTGGAGGTGGGTTTGTCCGCGCGGCGTGGCTTCCTGCGTCATGATTTTTAGGGGCTCCAGGGACCTCCGAGATCACATCGGTACACACCGCTGACCTTTGTTGACACCCCGAGATCAACGCTGTGTATTTATCTGGTGTTGAAGTCCCGGAGTCTTGAATTTTAGGCTTTTCTATGATGCCCGGGAGTTAAAAGAGGGTGAAATGCAACATGAACCCTGAAGAAAAATTCTTTTCTACTTTTTACCCCAACTTATAAATATTTCACATATTGCATCTTTAATATATTTCTCAAAAAAAAAAATGGTACAGTGTTTGTTGGGGATTGGATTTCCAATTCATCCCTTTTTTTTTTCAAAAAATATTAAATTAAATACCTATTTTTTATTTTTTATATTATATTAAAAATTAATTATACATTCAAAATATCACATCAACACATATTTATATCACATCATACAACTATTCAAATTCAAAATTTTTACCATTCAAATTCCAATCCAAATCCAAATCCCCAAACAAACACGCTCTAAAAAGATATTCATTTATTTGGAGTTTAAGGTATATTATAATTATATTAATATATAGTAGAAATAAAATAACTATTGTTAGTATTATGTAAGATAAAAATAATGACATTGTAATATATTATAAGTTGTAAAGATATTTATAATGTTAGGTAGATACTTACTGATATTATTTTTTTGGATATACAAAATAAAAAAAATAAATAATTTGTTAAGAGAGAAGACATATTTCAATAGTTTTAATTAAAATTTTAGTTATTTGAACCATTAACTAAATAATAACTAATATCAATATATTTATTTCTCCCTTGTGACATTAAATTCTTTGTCAATTTGATACCTAAGGTGTTATATATACATATATATGCATAATCAAATTGTTGACAAGCAAAGCACAATAATTTTATATTGGGTAAACTGTTTTTTTTAGTCCCGTAAATGGATTCCTTTATCATTTTAGTCCCGTAAGTGGAACTTGTCGCAAACTAGTCCCATATATGAAAAATTTTCGCTGTTTTAGTTCTCCGGCGCCGGAGACGCCCGCGTGGCTCGCCGGAGGTGACATGTCCGTCAGATCAACGACACCTGGCGGACACGTGGATTTATTATTTTTTTTTTAATTTTTTTTAATTGGACCAAATAAAAAAAATAAAAAAATGCAAATAAAATTTAAAATAAATTAAAAAAAATTTTAAAAAAAAATTTAATAAATGAAATAAAAAAATATAAAATTCACATGTCCGCCACGTGTCGGACACCTGGACACGTCACCTCCGACGAGCCACGCGGGCGTCTCCGGCGCCGGATGACTAAAACAGCAAAAAAATTTCACTTACAAGGGGGTTCGATTACGGAAAAAAAAAAAAAACAGTTTAACTTTCTATATTTCACTTGTGAAAATTGTTATAATAGATACTATTTTTAAAGGCCAAGAACATTGTTATCATACTTGAAAGCAATATCCATTAGTGTTCGCCGGTCATTCGTATTGTCTCTCCGATCGCCGTCTAAATAACCTACAAGAGATGAAAACAGAACATGTGAAAATCACAAATACGTTCGGAGTATTTATTTGGCTACTTGTAAATGAAATTATATTGGAACATCTTGAAACCTACTTACTAAACCAGGTAAAGTATTAAAATTTTCTTATTAGCAACTTGTATTAAATTAGTCAGAAGGATCATCTTTTTTACTTTTTGACATCTTTGTAACTATTTCAATTGGAGTTCATGTTTAATTGTTCATGTAAATGAATTTTTTTAAAGATTTTGTTGTATATTCGTTTTGAGACAAAAAAAAAAAAAAAAAAAAAAAATCATCTTAATCTTGATGTAATTCAATACTCAAAAATTAAGTAACGAAACCAAAATTGATCATTTCAAAGTTCTATATAGTGAATCTTTTGAAGTCTTCAATCAGTTTGATATTATTATTTACAATGGTTAAATAATTATCATACAAACTTTTGGTATTTGCTTGAGATCATAAATGATTTTTTTTAAGTTGTTTATATATATATATATATTTAGTATTCTTCTATACAAACACTGAAAGTTCGTTGACAAACAATTCTTTTTCACCAATAAATTTAATTAGGTTTGAATTCGAAGCACAAACTTAGGTTCAAACTCTAGATATTTTTAGATTTTATATACTATATATATTCTTAATATTGTAACTTATTTTGTCAGATCTAATTTATTTACTATTACATTGGACCAAAATTTAAGCGGAGCATATTCCAATAATAAAAACTACAAATTCACATATTATTAAAAAAATAAAAATATTTTCACTACTTGATCTATAAAGACTTCACGCTATTGATTTTATTAGTAGAATTGTCATTGCAAATATTTTACCATGGCTAAAAGTGCATACACTTAAACATATTTAATAATAGTCCGTAAGGGATGGTTAAAACATCCAGCTGTACGTAATTTGTCTTGTCTTGTCGGACCTATTTGCAAGATATTAAATTCAATTGTATTTATCAATGTAGATAACAACTGCGAAATTAGTTATAAAAAAACATATATTTAATAATATGTTTACATATGAATATTAAAAACAATATATACATTTAAAAATACAAAATTATCGCACTCATTCTAATTAATTTACAAAAAAAGAAAAAAAACACGCACACACACCTACCTAATCAAAAGTTCAAAGAAAATAAATAAATAAATTAAAAGATAAAGTAAAAACCCTGTATATTCGATCCTCGTGATGCTGCATCAAACATCGTGCGTGTGATTCGTCGACTGTCGTACTTTTTTCAAAGACCCAGCATTTATACACGCGGCGCGCCATTCTACATCAACTACGTACCAAGAACCAACCCAGATCATCCGATTCTTTTCCGATCTCCCGATTGCTGGAATCAACCGTCGGCCGATCGCGTTGCACGCATGGGTACATCTCCGATCCGGTTTTCTTTGAGCTAATTGTGCGATTTTCCCGTGCTTGAATCTTTTGTTGTTGGTGGTGTTATTATCCGACGGCAATTGGTAAATCAGTTGGTTGGGGGCATAATTAATTTCGTGCTTGTGTGTTATTGAATGATCTCTAGCACCTGCAAATTGGCTTAAGTTTGGGTTTCTTCATGTTTGGAGACATTGCATCAATCTGTTATAATGGCTTCTTTGTGATTTTAATAGACTGTGAATAAGTTGTCTGTTGGATGGAGTTGTTGGAGCGCATGCATGGTGCTTTATTATAGATAAGGCTAAGATAGGAGTTTTGGGAAAGTGAAATGATTTGATTTGATATAAATAGGTGTTTTAATGCGAGTAAATAAGTTTTTATTATAATAGTTTAAATAAGCAATAGTTATTTGATGTAATCCTTTTTTTTTTTTGTTTTTTTTTTTTTTTTAAAGTTATTGTTTACAAATAGTGTCAAAACTTAAAAAAATGTATGTAAACAGAGCCTACACATTTCTTAATTTTTCTTGAAATTTGATGAAGATTTTCTAAGTTTGTTGCCGGATGGCAGGCAGAAAGAAGACATATGGTATGCGGTTTGTTCTATCAAGTTTCTACTGACATAGATTTAACTCTTAGCCTTCTACTGAACTTGCTTTTGATCAAAGTTCTTATTATGTTCAGATGCCCTTTATTAGTATAAAAACACCTATGAGGGTGCACATTTCTGGCTTTTCTTGTTTTGAATGCTCGGTTAATTTAGTTCTACTGTCTACTGTGTATATTTAGTCTTATTTAGCCCTTTGATTCATCTCTTGATATGGTGCTAAACATGAGCTGTCATTGGTGAACCTAATTTTGCTTGTTTGTAATGGAATGTATATATATATATATATATTTAGGGAATTTGCTGTATGATGCTAATGCAACTGATATTTTATATATCCAGATGTTAAAGACCCTTGTTGTTCCACCCATCTCATTGATGGGGATGGCACTTTCAATGTTGTTGGCGTTGAGAATTTCATGAAGGAAGTCAGGCTCGGTGAATGTGGGCTTTCTTATGCTGTTGTAGCTATCATGGGCCCTCAGAGTAGTGGTATAAAATTTGGATGGCTAACCCAATAATATTTCTTTTGAACCAGAATCTCCATGCATGGTGGAATCCTCCATTTAGCTTGCTCAAGCTCGTCTATTGGTTTATACACCTTATGTAACAGCTTATGAAATTGGAGTTTTGAAAATTGCAGACTAAATTTATTAGCCAATCAATAACAGTATTTGTTTTGTGCCAAAAACCTTTGTCAACCACCATCAAGTAGTTTGTATGAATACCTTCTCTTCAATGCTTTTGACAGGGAAGAGTACGTTGTTGAATAATCTCTTTGGTACTAATTTCAGAGAGATGGATGCTTTTAGGGGGAGGTATGCTGTTCCTAATTTCATTGTACTTTCCTTTGCATATGTGATTGATAGAATACTGAACATCTGAATTTTATTAGGTCTCAAACCACAAAGGGCATATGGCTGGCACACTGTGTTGGAATTGAACCTTGTACTCTTGTAATGGATTTAGAGGGTACTGATGGAAGAGAAAGAGGAGAGGTGTAATAGGATTTCTACTAATGGACTCATTGCTTTAATATTATTTTTTATTCCTTGGTTGTGTATGAACGCTGTTATTCTCTGCAATAAAGGTTTTCTTTAGAGTTTTTATGTGTGCTGTTCAGCTTCTGTTTTCTTTAACCCAACTTAATTTCTTTTGTTGTTCTTGTGATGTTTGCAAATTTTGAAATGGTATTTCTGATGTTAGCTTTCTTTCTATCATACATGGGATCTAGATTTATGGAAGAATACCTTGCTTTCTGTTGCTTGATATTTTTGCCATTTCATCATCGTTCTTGAAGCATCAACAATATGATATCTATCGTGCTTCTTTCAGGATGATACTACATTTGAAAAGCAGAGTGCTCTTTTTGCCCTTGCTGTTTCTGATATAGTGCTGATAAATATGTAAGATAGTTTAATTCCAATGATCTGATTCTTGTGAAGTTGATTGATTTCTGTATTCTGATTCTTCTCTTGAAAAAAATGTCTTCTTCAGGTGGTGCCATGATATTGGACGTGAACAGGCTGCAAACAAACCTCTTTTAAAAACTGTATTTCAGGTAACACACGACAGTGCTCTGTGTGTGGGTTTTTTGGCTGACGGGATTACTTATTTATCTTTGTTATGACAAGGTCATGTTGAGATTATTCAGTCCTCGCAAGACTACTTTGATGTTTGTTATTCGTGATAAAACACGGGTATGTTCTATATGGTGCTTTTTGATACTTTACATATGTATTTATTAAACTTAATAACTATTGGGCCATGCTTGTTTAATCTTGTATTGGTGCAGACACCTTTAGAAAACTTGGAGCCAGTTTTAAGGGAAGATATTAATAAGGTACATCATATGCCGGTTATTATGTTTAATTTCTTTTATGGATCTAATTGCAAGTGTTTTAACATTTCTCCTGAATTTTTCATTGCCTACCCTCATTGAAGATATGGGATTCTGTTCCTAAGCCGCAAGCTCACAAGGAAACTCAATTAAGTGAATTTTTCAATGTAAGGTCAACAAATGTTACAACTTACAATTATCCAATGTGTCAGTCTGCACGCGGTATATTGTTTGTAGTATTTCTGTTCTAAATGACTGAATTGCAGGTAGAAGTTGTGGCCCTATCAAGTTATGAAGAGAAGGAAGAACAATTCAAAGAACAGGTACAATCTCTTGTTTCAATTCTTCAATTTTGTACTTATTTCCATTTTTATGACTCACCTTGCATTGGAACTCTTTCCATTCTTTTAACGTGGATGGATTTGATACTGTGGAGAACTGTGCATTCCCTTGGAAGAGCAGATAAGAAATCCTACATTTGATTATTGGTTTGTGGTTCTTTGAAGGTGGCTAGTCTAAGACAAAGATTTTTTAATTCAATTGCACCTGGTGGGCTTGCTGGGGATAGGAGCGGTGTAGTCCCTGCGTCAGGCTTTTCGTTCAGTGCACAAGAAATATGGAAGGTCATTAAGGAGAATAAGGACCTTGATCTTCCTGCACACAAGGTTTTCAACTAATTTGTTCTGTTCAATATTATCAGTAAATTGTTGATGAAATCTTGTTGCTGAAATATGTTTTGTTAATTGGTATAGGTCATGGTTGCTACTGTACGCTGTGAAGAGATTGCTAATGAAAAGTTTTCTTCTTTTAGTGCAAATGAGGTACTTATTTGATTATAGGATGAAGAGTTTGTAGAAACTAATGTTTCTGAAAGCTTTTGAATTGTTATCTACTCCATGCATATGTAGGAATGGTGTCAAATTGAAGAGACTGTACAATCTGAACCCGTGCTTGGGTTTGGGAAAAAGCTCACATCCATTCTTGATGTTTGTCTATCAGGGTAACTCTTTATATGGCTCAGAAGTAAATACCTAATTAAATATGCAATGTAGTTGATTTTTGTGCCTATTGAATAATTTGCTATGTTTCTGTAAACTCTGTTTTTCATGCAATTGGCTATGAAAATAACCACTGTAAAAAATGTTGAAAATTTGAATGTTTTATGGACAAACCAACAAACTTTATCATGGACTTTCAAAACTGATTCTTTTATCCTAGCTATTTTAGTGGCTGGCTTACCTAGATAATTTGAATTCTATGCTTGTTGATGCTAAATTTTGAAAGCTGAAATATCTCTTTCGCTTCTCTATATTCATTTGTGTAAGTGAAATCATTTTTAAGATTTTTTTTTTTTTTTTTTTTTGTTATAAGGAACATAGAAATGTTATTGCTTCATTTGACAAGAATTTTGCCATTATGCGGTGAAATAATTTGTTGTGAACTAATTATGTTTATTTGGCGAGAGAACTTGAGTTCTAGTTTCTGATACGTGCAATCATATGATTTTTTTTCTACCCTATAATAGGTATGATGCAGAGGCAACATATTTTGATGAGGGCGTTAGATCTTCGAAGCGAAAACAGTTGGAGGAGAAACTTTTGCAAGTAAATATCCTTTAGCTTCATACACTTGCACGGAACACTGTAGCACCGACCCATTCCAGCTTGCCCCTCCCCCTTATTTTTGGGATGGGTTTGAGATATGATTAAATGAGAAATGTTCTATAATTTAAGGCAATGCATTTTGTGATTCGTGCCTAAGTGTATGTTGTAGAAAGTGATCATGAGTTGCTTTAGTTTTCAGATGGTATGCTTTGTGAGATTTTTTCATTCTCATAAGCTGTAGAATGAAACCTACTATTCTACTTATATATAAGTATATTTTATGAAAATTCATCAGGCTGTATATACATATGCTAGACCAACACCACTAGTTACAATTGTTCGTGGTCATCATTCTTGCAAAAAAAAACAATAAAATTTTGTTCCAGTCGAATGTTCCTGTAATATAAATGCCAAAGCTATTAGCTTTTCTCTCAGCAGCTTAATAATTGTAAAAAGCAGGGATCTAAAAATGCTCTTATGTCTGTGAAAATAGTTGATGTGTACTGCTGTCTCTGTCTCTGTCTCTGTTTATGTTTTGTTTTTTATAACTGATGTGATTTTAGCATGTGGGTGTTCTCAGTACCTGTCTCTGATTGCAATTGTTTGCTGTGAAATGTGGGAAATGACGATATGATATACTTGTAATTATTATGTTTTATTCTACACACGCACAATTGAACAGGATTTAGAAAATCCACCCATTTATATTTGTTCATGAATTGAGAAATGTAGTTTGGTACTTTGGTGAGATAAGCTGAACAGCGACAACATTTTCAAACAAGAGATAAATATGAGTTTAATATATAGTTATTTTATTTCCTTTTCTCGGGTGTTGCAGTGGTGCATTGAGACTGATACAATCTATGTGCATGTTTATTGTCTGCCATTTACTTCTGTTTCTTGGATCCCTTTTTATTACTATTTATAGATTTTTTAATTTTAATTTTTTAATTTGTTTTTCATGGTATTAGCTTATCCAACCAGCACACCAATCCATGTTGGGACACATTCGCTCTGGAACCTTTGGTAGATTTAAAGAAGCATTTGACAGCGCCTTGACTGGGGGAAAAGGGTTTACTGAGGCTGCATGTGATTGCACTGAACTCTTCATGGCTCAGTTTGATCAAGCATCTGCAGGTGCAGTTGTGTCTTCTTTCCCATCATATAAATCTATAATCTTGTAAGGTATCTGAAATCAATTTCGACATGAATCATCTTCAAGAGCATTTCAATGAGGCACACTAGAGTTAGTGTTAGTTGTGATTCAAAATCTCAAGGGGTGCTCTTTTGGAGTTTGATTTTGATTTTTGTTTGAATAGGATTTGGATGTGATGTTTTGTGATTGTAAATATTGTATATTTATAGGGAATTGTAATGTTTGTATGATAAAAAATTGAAATCGAACTCCAAAAGACCAGAGCAACTTTTTGGTCTGTAAAGTCATGTTGCAGTAGCATTTTACTGTAGAGGATGAGGAAATACTTGATCATCAATACCAACTAATTCTTAACGATCAATGCATGGAATATTATGGTGATGTTGCAAGCATCATTTGATGGTTAATTTTTTTGACTGTAGATGCGGACATCAAACAGGCGAATTGGGACACTTCTAAAGTAAGAGATAAGCTTAGACGAGATCTAGATGAGCATATTGCTGCAGTTCGTGCTGCCAAGCTTTCTGAGCTTACAGCCATGTATGAGGTACAGTCGAACAGATACTACTACCAACTCAATCTTGAGACTTGTCTGCTTGTAAGATTGTACCTGAAATTGATCTTCTGTAAGAACTAAGAACACATCTATGCAATTGAGAGTTAAGAAATATATTAATTAGATTTGGGGGGTGTGCTGTAGCATCTTACCTAAAAGACGGGGTAGTTCTGTTATTGGGGTATTTGGTTGCACAGATGATGATACTATGATGAATAATGACCTTCTGTTTTATGTTTTTATACAATCATTTTCTTACAATTAATTTTATGGGCAGAAAAAATTGTCTGATGCATTAGCTGGACCTGTAGAGGCTTTGTTAGATGAAGCTAATGATGATACATGGCCAGCAATAAGGAAACTTCTACACCGTGAAACTCGAGTGGCTGTTAGTGGGTTTTCTGATGCTCTTTCTGGTTTTGAGATGGATGATGTAACAAAAGAAAAAATGATTTCAAGGTTGGAAGAATATGCGCGAGGAGTGGTAGAAGCAAAAACGAGAGAAGAGGCTGGAAGAGTTTTGCTCCGTATGAAAGACAGGTGCTTATGTTGTTTTTTGTTATCAAAGCTGTATAGATAATATATATGCACTTCCGAAGCTCTGCATATTTAATTTTTTGTGACTAATGTGAATTGACTGGGCTGTTGTTTGCAGGTTTTCTACATTGTTCAGTCGTGATTCTGATTCAATGCCACGTGTCTGGACTGGGAACGAAGACATTCGTGCCATTACAAAAACTGCTCGCTCTTCTGTATGATATTCTTTTGTGCAATGGTTTCTTATTCCAATTGTTATTATTATTATTTTATTAAGTTTAATATTATTCATTTCTTTATATTTCCTGTGGTGAAGTCTTTGAAGCTACTTTCTGTTATGGCTGTGGTCCGCCTGGATGACGTTGCTGATTCTGTAGAGAATAAATTGGCCCTTTCTCTTATTGATCCTAAAAGTGGTGCAGCTAGCAATAGGGGCATTTCAGGGGACCCGCTTGCTTCAAGCAGTTGGGATGAGGTAATAGCTAATCTTCTATACCTCTATTTAAATAAAAAAAAAAAACTTTTGTGGAATCAGCATTACCTTTGTGGCTTTTGCAACTCATTGCCAAATTACCATGTTAATGTATCTCAGTGTTACCTATTCGGTCTTCATGACTCATCGTCTAATTTTGCAGAGTGGCGGTAATGGAATTTTATCTTTGCATATGTCCTGTTCCTCTTGGAAAAACTACTTAACAATTGCATGACCAATACTATCTGTTAGTTAGTTAAACTTAAATACAGTCATATACTCTTTATATGTTCTTTGTAATCGGCAATCATTTTATAGTTATTAGTAATGGAGTTTTAGCTTATTTAGATGAAGGGAAGTTTTCCTTTCTTGAGATATTAATTTTATACTTATCTGTTGCACATGTTAAATGGCTCCAATGGTTGTTGTCTCCTTGGATTCAACTGTTCAGTAAAATCAGGCCTTTTCATGTATCGGCTTTTAGTTGGAGAAGATTGAAGTTTTTTATCTATAAAATATTTTCGCCTCATGGACTTGAAGTTCTATGAGATCATCAGAACCTCAAATAATTCTACAATGCAATTATCTTTGCTATACATGGTCACATTGCACTCATACTTGGTATGCTAATCTAAATTCCCAGATCCCGTCATCAAAAACCTTGCTTACGCCAGTGCAATGTAAATCTTTGTGGAGGCAATTTCAAACAGAGACTGAGTATACTGTTAGTCAAGCCATTGCTGCTCAGGTAAAATTACACGAATGCTTCTGAATCCCTTTTGTTTGTTTCATTCTACGTTTTTTGTATTGATCCATAAGTCGTAGTATTCATTTATTAATTAAAGTAGATCTAATTATTTGCTGCTGTATCGTAATGATTATTGAAGTTGTCGTACATTTCAACTTTCTTCAGGAGGCCAGCAGACGAAACAACAACTGGCTGCCTCCTCCATGGGCAATTGTCGCGTTACTTGTTTTGGGTTTTAACGAATTTATGACCCTTTTGAGGTAATCTATTGTTTCTTCAAGCAGGGAGTGACATTTATCATTTAATTTCTTGGAAGAGGCCATCGATAATTTAGTTGAAATATGTTGAGGGGTTGATGTATCTGCTTATCATTTAATTTCTTGTTTCTTCTTTTTGTCCTTACGACAGAAATCCTTTGCTATTGGGCGTCATTTTTATCGGTTTTCTTCTTGTAAAAGCCCTCTGGGTGCAATTAGATATCTCCGGTGAATTTCGCAATGGAGCTGTAAGTAAACCACACAGAGACATATTTACCGGCTTAACTGCATTTGTTTCTATTCTGGTCTTTCGAGGTTTTTACAGTTTTCGGACCACAGTTGCATTCATTTTCCAATTATTTGAAACCAAATTCTCTCTAACTTCTTTAAATCATTTTGTTGACATCTGATCTTCATATCGCTTTCCTGTGCCTGCAGCTACCCGGGATCCTATCAATCTCCACCAAATTCCTACCTACCGTGATGAACCTTCTTCGAAAACTAGCGGAGGAAGGACAAAGTCGTGCGACCACCAGTCCTCCAGCTCAAGCAAGAACCTCACAAAGCGGTACAAACGACTACTCTGACATGTCATCCAGCGCGTCGTCTGCAATAACTTCTTCAGAGAACGGTACAGACTACTCCAGCCCCTCGACTAAATCTAAATCACAGTAAACCACCGGTTTGCGGTTCGACAATAGTCCACTACTCCTGATTCTTTGAAGCAAAAGACCTCACCTGACTTATGGTTTTCTGGGATTAATATCTTCTATGTATTACTCTGTTTATTGCCACATTAAAAGTTGCCATTTTTTCCCCTGTAGTCCTAATTTATCTATCTATCAGGGATTTTGCTTGCCTGGCCTGTGATTGTCGTGATAATTTTATTTTAAATAATATTTTGATATAATATTTTTGTAAAAACAAATAACAAATTTTCGTTGCATATTGTTCGAATTGAATAGTGAAAAAGATTGGTTTGAGGAAGTAACCAGCCAAAATGAACACAAATTTTCATTTTTAAATTTGGCTCATTTTTAAAATGAACACAAGTTTTGTGACGCGGGGTTTATTTAGATAGAATTTTTTGGAGATTTTTGAAAATTTTGAAGTTTGGAAAAAATAAAAAATTAAATATTTGATTTGATATTTTATGAGAAAAAAAATGTATTTGATGTGATTGTTTTTTTAAAAATGAATAGTACCAAAAGAGTGAATAGAGTAGTGATCTTTTATTTGAGTTTAATTCCAAATAAATTTCTAAGTAATTATTTTTAATGTTAAAAATTTAGGGTGTTTTTCATTGGGCTAGCTTGATAAAAATTATTTTGAATTTGGTATTAAAGCACACCATACCTGAGGTCTCATTCGATTTTGACATTTTTGCATTTCACTAAGTAAAAATTAAAGGTGCTTTGATATTAGTATAATATTTTCTCCTTCAATTTATAATTGTTTTAAAGTATATTTACACTAATTTTTAAGTAATTTTTTTTTTAATTTTTATAAATTGACAAATCTATCCTTCATGATAAAATAGATATTACATGTAGTAAATAAATGAAGGATAAAAAAGTAAAATTTATGTTTAAAAAGAAAATAAAATAATAGTTATTGGACGTTCCACGTAAGGACGTTAGTTTGTGTAAATGATATTTTGAATTGGGATGAAAAATATATAATAAGCTATCCTCCAATCTCATAAATTGGGAGTCTATTTAAAAATGGTCCATTAAAACAACGGCCCAATTAATGTCCACAAAAGGCCCAGGAGGAGCCCAGCAGGTGTTCGTCGTCGTTTGAAGGCGGATGCGTTGTGGAATATCCGTTGAAAACCGTTTCATTTCTCACCGAGGATTTCAGCTCGATTCTAGGAGGCAATTGGAGCTGCAAACTTCGCGTGTACAAGAAGATTATAATTATATATGTCTACTCATCTATGCGAATGTGTATATGCATTGAAGAAGCCGAGAAGGTGAATCGCCAGAATTTAGGGCTTCAGGCAATTTGCTTTGCTACGCTGCATTTTGTTGTCAACGAATTAGCTATGAATCGTGACTGCAGATTTTGTCATTTTTCCTCTTTCATTTCGGTTTGGATTCGGTTGTCCTATTTTTTGTTATTCATTTTTAACCAGATCGATGCTGGGATTACATCCATTTTTAACCCTTGTAAATAGTATTGCTAACGTGCATCTAATTTGTGATTTCTTTTTTCTTTTTTTTTTTTTTTTGTAGAGGTATTGTGTTTTTGTTCATTGATTGAATATATCAAGTTGTGTGTTTGAATTTGAGCCTGCTTCTGAATTGGCAGTTTGAATTATTGTATTCTTTTGTGATATATGCTGTTAGTTCCTTAGCTTCCTCTCAAATTTCTTGTGCTTTTTGTCTTATAGTCTGCAATTTAGAGATTGCGACATTGTTGCTTCATGAAAAGAATAGAAAAGCATTCTTCTTAACTTTCTTCAGTTGTTTTAATTATTAGTTTCTTGCTTTCATGACTTTTTCTTGCTTGACAGACCTTGCTACTGAAGCAGAAATTTTGAGGCTAAAACCATATGTGATTCTTATTTCTTTCTTATGTAAGCTTGATCATGTGTTTTTGTATGGTTAAATCTTTTCGTTATTTCTTGTGAGTTGTATTTGATGCGCGTCCAGATTTTGTCTCACTCGATATTTGATCAATGCTCTATCCATCGTCTTAATTTGTTTACTTCCGTTGTACTTAATGTTGAACCTGGTATACTAGATGAAAAATCTATAGCATCGTAAGCCCTGCCTGGATCGACTGCTTGAAGCTTACTAGATGTCAAGAAGATAGCTTGGAGTCAAAATTCAATATTTTATAAGCTGTCAAATTTGTATACATATTGTTTTGAACAATGTTGCTCTAATCGCCTGTGTCATTCAGTTTTCATTTTAATAGGATGCGTGTTGCTGCAGGTGATCTTGATCAGTGCACATCATCATGTCGGTAAAACCAACAGTTGTGTTGAGAGCCATACTCGTTGGGGGAGTCGCAGCCTTCGCCAAAATTGGAGGAGCAATGAAAGCTGCAGGCGGAGCAAAGATTGGCGCTGCAGCAGCGGCCATGACAGCAGCAGCAACAGCAACAGCTGCTGTTTCCGGATCCAAACAAGATCCAAGTAATGCGCCTCCACAATCTTCTGAATGACACTTTATGTTGAAATTTACAAATCTTCTCTTCTATTTCATGCCTAATTTTCTGTAACAACATTACACGAAATGTAGCTTAATCTTAGTAGGTTGTAGAAATTGTTTTGTTTCTTAGGTAACTCAGGACAAACAATGGAACATCTGCCCTGTAAATACAAATTCTATTTGTCTAGATTTGAATCCACTTGTTCAGATAAAGACAATACACTGAAGCATGAGGTGTTAAATTTGTTTTTTCGGTATTATGTATATAAGACACTTCTCTACCCCTCTTTTCAGTTGTCTCTATATGTTATATACATGGTTGGATATGTGTACTGAAAGACAAAAGAGGTATTTTATTTGACTTGTCAGATTATGATTCATTAAATTAATGGTAGAATCATTTTGTAGCTTAGTGTCTTATGACAAAAGATTACATTCTCCATAATCTTTCTCAGAATAGTGAAAGGTTGCTTTGTTGTTTGTTTGGTTTGAGTTTAAATAGTATTTTGATAGAATATTTAGTGAGAGTATATAGTTTAAATGTGTTTGAAATCAAAACCAAACAAATAATTGTTGTGATGTTTTTTAAAAAATTTACTGTTGATAAATAGAAGGTAAATTGATTTGAAAATAGACAGAGCCTTGTGTTTTCTTAGCAACTTTGAAAATGTTATTAAAATATTTGGGTGTGTTTGTTTTGTATTTTCAGTTTAAGGTGTTTTCTGATATGAGGTAGAATTATTGATTTTTGTGAGGAGATATAATATATATTATATGGATGTATGTATACATTATATTTTTTTTTTTATAATATTAATCGAGAATTGTTTCGAGAAAAGGTATTTAGGTGAACAAACCCTTTGTTTTTGTTGTTTTTTAAATGTTATAGAGAACTATGCCTATTGAAAATGATACACATTGAAATAAACAATCTTGAAATGCTTCTATAACTTAATTATGTTTACATGGGTTTTATTGGTTGTGAAGCATTCTTGGATTCAAATTAGTTCATAAGACTGATTACATTAATAAGGAAACTACCCCCACCCCACCCCTCCCCTCCCTCCCCTTAATCTGTTTTCTTGACTTGCAACAGCTTTTTACACTGCTACTAGTGTCCAACTTTGAGGGCCGGTAGGGGTAAGGCATCGGGGACTGCTGTTGCTGCCGTCCCCAACATGCAATCAGCCGCTGCTGGCAGCAATTGAATCGAGCTTGAATTTTTGCTCATCGTTTCATCTATAAGTCGAAGCAGTGTGCTGTTCAGCTCTTCCCCGTCCGTCCATTCGTGAACTTGCGCGTGCACAAGTTCACGATTTTGGCTTATCAAATCCCACACAGGGAATCCCTTTCTGGGCATCATAAAATCGCCGACCTTCAGCTTTAGGCTCGGGCAAAAGTCCCCTTTCCCATCGCCAAGGTATATCACTGTTCCCTTGCCCTCTTTCATCATACTTGCTTGGATTCTTTCTATGATTCTACCCTGTGAAAGTATAGATTTGTCGATGAATCACTTGAAAGATGGAACATTCTAAGATAGATCGATCGATAGATAGATACATACATACCTTGCACATGTTAGGAGGGCATAGATTACAACCATGGGGACAAGAGTCGAAATCTACGTAGGGACATATATGCAGCCTGTCTTCTCTGTCTATGTAGGCGGGATTCGTGTGGATCTCTGAGAAACATTCTTTTATGCCTACATGTTCGAGTATTGTCTCTATGAACACCGTGTTTGCGTCGCTAACTATCCTTAGATCACACCTTTAAAAACCATAGTCAGTATTAGCAAAGATGCCTACTTTCATATTTACGTACGTAAAAGGATATTTTGGTATTTATATATGCAATGCTACGTACCCGCGAGAATAGGCATATTTGATTGCTGAGACGATCTTGGGATGAATAGCAACCCTTCTTAGAGCCTCTTTAATATCTTCTGTGCTTTTCCCTTGTTCATGCACTTCTTTCATCATCCTATCCTGTATTATATATACATATATATATATAATTCAATGAAAATAAAATAATACCAATATAGATAATTATCATACTGAGTTTGGGGGTGGAGGGGGGGGGGTGGGAATATGAGTTTATTTCTATAAGTTCGATGTCATTTTTTTTTAATTAAAAAATATTGATTACTAGAGCAAACCAATAAAATTACATAAATTTTATTATTTTAAACAAAAATAAAAATAAAATACAAAACTGGAAGATAAAATTATTAGAAATAAATAAATATATTTTTTATTTTTTAAATTACAAAAAACACATTTTGGGGGCTCCCTACCCCTATATGGTTCCGTTCATGATAAAAATACCAATATATCAAAAATGCCAAAATGCAAAAAATAATGACTTACTAGTACATTTATAAGCCATATATATTTTCAATATTTTTTTCGACATGATATAAACTAGAAACTACATTTTCAATAATTTTTTTCCGACCATAAGAAAATGAAGGAGGATACCATCAATGAATTCCACGGCATGGTGGCAAGAAGTTGGCTGAAGGCGGCGGTGACGCCGAGCTCCTCCACGACCCAATCGTCGCTGTCCGGCTCGATGATCGTCCGGTCGAAGTCCAAAACCACCACAATCCCTCTTCCTGCTAAAGACTCCATTTTTAATAACTATAATTTTTTTTCTGCAATTCTGAAATGTAATTTCTTCTTCTGGCTTGTCTATATATATATATAGAGAGAGAGAGAGAGAGAGGGAGAGAGATAGAGAGAGAGAGGATGTTTAGGGTAGAGGTGAGGAATATGGAATGGAATAAACTCCGGCGGCATATATATGTGTGTACGTAGAGTTTTAAATCGAATTCTTTTGCTGGCTGCCATTACTATTGTGGTGGATTCTCTTGAGATATGCTGAGCCGTTGGATTAGGGTCTTGAGATTGATCCAACGGTCGGCTTTTTTTGTGGTTAAAAATCGTGGGTATGAAATTCCCGGAATAATTAGAGAGAATATTCTGCTGATGGATTATTTAATTTATAAATTACTAATAATAATTGTGGAGGTCTGTTAGGAATTCCACTTTGGATGTTAAGCCTAATTTGGAATAGTTTGCTTTTTTCCCTTTCAAACCATAACACTAGCTCTTGTTTTTTTTTTTTCTTTTTAAATAATTGTATTTATTTATTTTATTATTATACTCCCTCGGTCCCGTTACAAAGTTGCCAGTACTTGACATTAAAAATATCTTTATATTTGAATAATAAGAGACTATGAACATATTTTGTCTTTTTTTTTTTTTTTTTTTTTTCTTGATTTGGACTACGTCTTATATAATAATTATATTTAAAGATCAACATTCAAAAAGTCAATGGCAACCTTGCAGTAGGATAGTAGGATGGAGAGAGTATAATTTTTATGATTTTTTTTTTTTTAAGGTAGAATATTATTCAAATACAAAATAAAAATAAACATACAAAGAAAATAATATTTTAGAATTTCTCTTCACAATGGTTTAATGTGTTATCAAAAGAAGTTTGTTTGATTTTTATTTCACTTCGATATTTTGATTTAAATTTTAATTTAAATATTATTTTGATATAATATTTTTATTAAAAAATCATATATTTTATTAAAAATATGCATATTCAATGATGGTGATTTGTGTTTAAATTAAAAAATAAACACACAAATATGTATGTATTTAAAAATTTAATAGCAGATTATTTTACTACATATATATATATTTTTTTAATTTAATTTTGAACACGTGCATATTGTTCTTAATTTATAATATTTCTAACTATAAAAACCCCTACAATATAGACCAAAATTAAAAACTCATTCAATACGCACACACACAAATATAAAAACAATTTCCAACAATTTAGAAGTCTTTTTCATTTAAGAGCGTGTTCAATTGAGATGTTATATTGATTTTTTTTGGATTTAGAAAAATATGTGAATTTAAAAAATTAATAAACTTTATACAGAGTTTGATTGATTTGTTTTATTAATTTATTATATGAATTTTTGATAAGATTATCTTTTTTGATTTATATAGATTTTATTATAGAATTGGTTGATTATATTTATTGATTTATATGAATTCTAATACAATTAGCTAGTAGAATTTTAGAATATTGTCTTTATGGATTTTCATAAAATCCGATGATATAATTATTAATATTGATGCAAATACATATTAAACACATATATAAAAAAAGGTTTAGGAATTCAAAATTTTTAACAAAAACACCAAATGTAACTAAATAAATAAATAATATATTTCATCTTTATAAAACATATCGGCACATTGCATATAAAAAAGTCAACTAAAGCAATTTCTAACACATAAATATTTTGCATGTATAAATTCACGATTATTCACATAATATATTATAATATTAGTAAATTTATAGGTGAATAATTGTGAAATTTTGAATAATGTATAAATATTATATATGTGAATTTTTTCAAATAATATTTATAAAAAATCATGTCTTATGAAATATGAAGTGAACAAATTCAAAATGTTCATTAGATTAAACAAATAATTAATGTCTGTAATGATTTAAAGATACTTATAAATTACAATGTATTTTTTTTTTAAACACATGAATATTTAATTTTATATATTCAATGCCTATTCCATCAAAAAATAAACTCAGTATCTCAATTCATAGCATCATCATTTTCTAACAACTTCAATTAATTATCGGCCATAAAATTATTCAACGAAAATTTATAAAAAGTTATATAAAAACAGTGTCCCTTCCCTTGAGCACGAATCGTGCAATTTTCGTATAAAAACTCAAACTTGCTTCAAACTTAAATATCCATTTGTAATGGTTCAATTCGTTCTTCCTCGAACATCTTTTCGTTCAATTTGCAATAAAATAATTAAATTTACGACAAAAAAATTTAGTCACATCGACCCCAGAAAGTCCCTTGTGACCATATCCTCTCCAGTGCCATCTGCTCCTCCACCGCCGCCACTGTCACCACCGGAGATCCCGCCACCAAAACCATTGTTGTTTTCCATTCTCGACAGCATGTCGAGCTCTGTAATTTCCAAAAAACTAAGAGTTAGAACACAAATAAAAAAAATTAGGTTAAGGTTAGGGTTAGGGTTTAATTAGTACCTAGTGATGCACGTCGATTTTCACAGTAAGGGGATGAAATATTCAGGCCAAAAACATTCGAGACCATTCGATTGTAATTGCCCATGGGCATTGTGCCTGATTGTCCGGCAGCCGGAAATGGCAGTGAGGGAGGCCGGAATGGGAACAATGTAGGCTGGAGGTTGCTATGGTCACGATTCCTCGAGAAATTCTGAAGGACTCCCGAATAAGACGATGATGAGGCCTGTTGAAGGTGCGCCGTGATCGGTGGAAACTGTAGTTCTTGTGGCTCCTGTTTAATCTGGGGTCTTCTTGCTGTGATCGGGTGGTGCTGAGAGCCATTGGCAATTGGCGTAGAAGAAGAAGCTTCTTGAACCACACAAAATACCTTGTGGGCGTTGTAAATATCTTTCCTGAAATATGATCTCATAAAATCTTCATTCGTTAGAATCATGAAGAAAAAAAAATCTATGACAACGAGCGTTGTATGAATGCACGTGTATCGTACGCTTCATTGTATTACTACATTTGATGTTCGAATCACATGGGCTTTGCGTTTCTATGCGTATAAGTTATTTGTGCGAAAATGTTCATACATAAAAACATTTACTCTCTAAGTTTCTATATATATCTTGTACACTAATATCAATATATTCATATATTACATGCATATTGACCATGGCTATTGTACATGCACATAAAATATATACAACTACTTCATCACTCGCTTATTTATTAAACACCACCAACATAATAGGCGTGTATACATTATACATTTATATAAGTATGTGATATACGTACTAGAAGTATATATCTCAAAATGCATTATATATATTAAACGCATGTGATATATACAATTTATATAAGTACATGATAAGCTAGGCATGTGTATCTTAGGCACTCATACAAGCACATCTATACACTAAGTACTAGTACACCATGCGCTTGTATAAATACATAGATACACCATGCGTATACGCATTACCCACATACATAAATCCCTACAAACATAACACATAAATTCCTACCGTCTTGCTCAATTAAACCAATGAACCCTAACAATAAACAAAATTAAACAATATAACAATCTAACAAAAAAAAAAAAAAAAAACCTCAAACAAAATAAAATTGACAAAGCACGTGCGCATTTCGCACATTTTAAAATTTCTACATACGATAACACATAAACACACTTAATCACATTCAACAAAATCAAAAAAACCCCAACAATGAATTTGAACCAAAAAAATAAAAAAATAACTATCTAACAAAAAACTCAAACAATATGAAATCACCGTTGCACGCATAGATAAATCCCTAACAAACATAAAACATACACACCTTCAATCAAGTTCAATCAAACCAAAATCCCCCAAGAAACTCAACAAAAATAGTCTTAACAATCTAACACAAAACACATATAATATAGAATCGCCACAATATAGAGTCGCCATGCACGTGCGCATTATGCACATACATTAATCATACAATATAAATCATAAACACCTTCAATCCTATTCAAACAAATAAAAAAGGCTCAACAATAAACTCAAACAAAAAAGAATAATATAACAACAACCCAACAAAAAACTTAGATGACATAAAATTTCCAGGTGCGTGCGCGTAGTGCGCACGCATAAATCGCTACACATGCAACATAAACACATTCAATCGAACAAAAAAACCCAAAGAACACGAACAAAAACACTATAGAATCACGCACCTTACAAACCGGCTTCCACAGCCGCAGTAGTACTCTTTTGTCCCACACTTCTTGCTGTGAGCTTTCCAATCAGACTCCACGGCGTACTTCTTCGAGCACTTGGTGCAGTTCCACCTCTTCTCGCAGTGCTTCCGCCGGTAATGTTTCCTGATCCCGGTCAAGTCCCCCAGCGCCCTTGCCGGATTGTGGTGCACACAGCTAGTCTCCGGGCAAATGTACACCTTCTTCGGCGCCTGTGCCGCCGCTGTCTCTCTCCTCTCCAATCTGGCCGGAAGATTGTGAGCTCTTTTATGCAGCTGTAGATTCTGATCTCTCTGAAAAGCTTTGTTGCAGATCTCGCAGACGTATTGATTAGTCGCGAATAGAGTTCTTGGCGACAACGCCACCACTTCTGCATTAGAATCTGATAAGGAAACCAAACAATGAAACTGTTATTACATTACTGAGATTTTAATTGATTAACTAATTGAGTTTCTTGTTAACAATTAGGGCAATTGTATATATTTAGGAATTAGGGTTTTTGTGCAGATTGTCGAGTTTGACCTGGGTGGGTTTTCTTTCGCCTCACCACGGCCGCGGATTGATTATCTTGGGGAGCTGTATTCAAATTTGACATGATTAATTTTGAAATCACTCAAAAACACAGAAAAAAGGTTGCTTTTATGTTCTTCGATTTTTCTTCACACAAGGATGGAGCAAAGATGAGAGATTGGGGGAGGGTATGAATTAGGGTTTGAGTGTGGGGGAAGAAGGAGAACAATTGGTGGTCTGGTCTCTCTCCCTCTCTGGTGCAGATTCGTAGTGATAAAAGGGGCGAGCTGTGATAAAAAGGTGGGTGGAATTGAAGAGGAGGGTGCAGTTAGTTGGGAAGTGGAGAATTGGAAGTTAGTATCGTCTTGGTCCTGAAATTAGGTTTATTTGTCTGATGGTTTTTAATAATCTTTATGTTGTTGTTATCTCGATCTGCGCAATGGTGGTTATGGCAGCATTCGTCTGTTATCTGTGTACTTCTGGTCGAACTTTGGAATCATCGAAGTTGTTTCATTTCTGAAAAGACAACTGTTTCTACTTTGAGTTAATAATTATTTCTGACACTATAGTTTTATTTTTATTTTTTGGGTATTATTTTATTTATTTTTTTACAAAAATGTGTCAGGTCATATAAAATATTATTATTCGTACAATATTGTTGTTATAAGATTTGCTGTGACTATATATATATATATATGATATTTTGGCTTTATATATATTTTTTCTGTCAAAAAAAAAAATAATAAAAAATATTCCTTTCATAAAAAGACTTAGTGGCACAAGGATATACTTGTCACCTCCGAGGTGACGTGTTGAAATTGCTGACACTTAAAATTCCGAATTTTTAGTGAATGTAATATTTTTAATTAAGTAATCTATATTGCAACTAGTATTATAAGTTTCGAAAATTAAAAACGAAGAAAATAATCAGTGTTATGACTTTAAAAAATTATAAAATTTTATTATAAATTAATATACATATTTTAATTTAAAAAGTGTGAAATTTTCGAAGCCATTCTAATACTTATTATTAGTATTGGAAGTTTTCAAATATATTTAAATAATTAAAATAAATTTTGTATTGTATAGTAATATTGAGTGTGATTGTTTTGCGATTTGAATTTGAAGTGTTTTCGATATTATGTATGAAAACATTATTATCGTTAATACAAACAAATATTTATGTAAATATCTTTATGTATATTATATTTTTAAATATCATTAATTGAGAGCTACTATTTGTTTAAAAACCTACCCATTATTATTTTTTATAATAATATATAATTATCTAAATTAAAATAATACATCAATTAATTAAAAAATGTCACTTTTTTTTTTTTATACCTTTTTGTTCTTCTCCATACTCATTTTCTTCTTCCTCCTTCGATGCTCACCCGTCTTCATCATCGAAAATAAAAAATATAACGACAAAAACAGGCCCAAAATAACCTAATCCATATCAATCATCATCCTTCACACTTGTAAGAGTCACCATGGCTCTGATAAGAAGGAATTCGGATATTCAATCTAAAACCAATTGGTGATAAGTGGAGTGGTATTTCATCTTTATATACCAGGGGAAATCCCACACATTTAGCAATGCGGGACAATATTCAACAATTTAGACCCTACTTTGTACATGCACCAGAGTAATGAAGCCTTTGACATGCTATTAGACCGCTCGTGAATTTTGATGGACACCCTTATTATTAATTTTTTTAATATAAAATTAATATTATTTAATTGTTTATTTTTTCTAAGAGTTTGTCTATTTTATTATCAATAAAAATATATTATTATATATTTTTTTTTCATAAAATATTATATTAAAATATATTTTTTTTAAAAAAACTTAAATGTAAATAAAAACAAACAAATTTTAATATATATGTTTTATATTATACATATATTTATAAAATTTGTATTATATATAAATAAATATATATATTTTTTAAAAATTTATCCCTAAAAAGCCCAAAATTTTGAGGTCGTGGGCGTGGCCTCGGGTGGCCCATAGTTAGGGCCGGCCTTCCATATATATATATATATATGTTTTATTCTCTCGCAATTTGAAAATTAATTTTGGGTACAAATAATCAAATTTTTTATAATGACCACTATCAAAATAGTCGAGTATATTTTTATTAAAACTCATGAGTTGAATATATTTTTATTAAAATATAAATTCAAAATATTTTAGTGTATATATATATTTTTTATTTTTAATCATGTACTTGTATCATATTGTGCCAAAACTCATCAAAATTTTGAATTTGCTTAATTTTGATTTGAAATTGATTTTTTATATTAGTTGTTTGAGTTTTAATTCAAATAATATTTGAATGTATATTTCGAGAAAAAATAATGCATTTTCAGAAATTAATATTTGAACTATATTAATTTATATTTGAAATTGAAAACAAACTAAATCAGTTTCATTTAGATTTTTTTTAAATTAAAAAAATGTCTAAAACATAGAATTAAACTCAAAACTCATTCAAACCGCTATATATTTATCTTTATTTTTAATCAATAACATATTATTACAATATTGTATTACATATTGTGTTTACTTATTTTCACTAAAAGAAATATCATATTCAAATTTTTATTATCAATTTAAATATTTTATTATTTGAAAAACATTTTCTAGAAAAAAAGCACATAAAGATATAGAAAGTTATTTCCAACCATTTAGAAGGCATTTTCGTTTGACGGTTTAATTAATATAACTGATGGTTGGAATGATCGATCGTACACAAAAGAGTACAAAAATGTTGATTATTTAATTAGGTAAATTATTAATGCCTAGAATTGCTTTGAGATATTTATTGACATGAGTTACACAATACTTTTTAAACAAATAAATATTTAATATATTCAATGCCTATCGATCTATATAAAATCATTTCAAAACTTCAACTTCCATCGATGGTAATTTAACGCAATAAAAAACAAACAAAGGTAATACGTAAAATTTGTCCCTTCCCTTGAGCACCAATTCGTGCATTTCCATATCAAATCTCAAACATGCAATAAACTAAAAAGTCCATCTGTAACGGTCAGATCGTTCTTCCTCAAACATCTTTATGTCGAATTTACAATAATATAATTGAATTTACAACAAAAGATCCGTTAAATTGACCCCAAGAAGTCCCTCGTCACAATATCCTCCCATCCCCATCTGCTCCTCCACTGCCGCCACCAAAACCAGTATTGTTTTCCATTCCTGACATCATGTCGAGCTCTGTAATTTCAAAAAAGGAAAATGGGTTAGAACAGACAGACAAGAAATCATGTTTCCTCCAACTCGAGCAATCATGTTTCCAACAATTTTAGGTTTCCTTTCATCAACACATGCTCGACAAGAAAAGACATGCACCTCCTCCCTCGGGTAGACAGACATACCCGTTGTATTAAGCAACAGCCATTCTTTGATGCTGTCCCGATGAAATCGATGCCCACATTCGAGTGTTCCGACATCTTCTGCAGCTTTATAATCCTCCCGGCATAACTGCAAGGCTCTTGCTCAGCTTAACCAGCTCTCCCATTCACATATTTGTACCTTCATACAGGCCATTATCGTTTCTTCGCTTAGTCCCGTGCACACATTTCTGATGCGCTCTTCCAGTCAATTCCACACATATTACATCTGCCTGGAGAGTAGCTGCGCGCACCACAATCTGGCGAGGGTGTTGGGGGACTTGAACAGGATCAAGAAGCATGACCGGAAGAAACATTGCGAAAAGAGGTCAGAGTGCACCAAGTGCTCGAAGAAGTACACCGTGAAGTCGGATTGGAACGTGCACTGCAAGACTTTCGAGATGAAGGAGTACTACTGCAGCTTCAGAAACCGGTTTACCAGGTGATTTTATGCGTTTTTTTTTTTTTTTTTTAATTATGTGTTCGTTGTTAGTGTTTTTTGTTTGGATTGAACGTGATTATAGGAATTTATACATGTGAATAGTGCGCACGCACCTGGAAATTTTATATGGTTTGAGTTCTTTGCTGTTGGATTCTTATGTATATCTTACATGCTTATGTAAACACATCAATAACTTATTTAAGCACTAAATATACCGTCTACGTAAATACGTTGACATACAACATTATACACATACGTAAAATCCCTACAAACATAACACATAAATGCTAAAATCATATTTAATTATGTCAATAAATCCTAACAATAAACTCAAACAAAACAACATAACAACCTAACAAAAAACTCTAACAAAATAAAATTGCCAAAGTGCGTGCGCATCACGGACATTCATAATCCCTACACATGTAACACATAAACACATTTAATCGCACTCAATTGAAAGAAAGAAAAATCTGACATTGAATTGGAACATAAAAATATAATTGCATAACAAAGAATCTAAATACATTCTTCAATCAAACCAAACAAAAAAACCCACAATGAACTCAAACAAAATCAATATAACCAACCAACAAAGAACTCAAACAAAATAAAATCTTAAGAGGCGTGGGCATCATGGGCACACACAAATTCCTACAAACATAAAACCTAAACACCTTCAATCCAGTTCAATCAAACCAAAATAATAACCCTAACAATACTCTGAACAAAACCATTAATATAACCTCGTATCAAATTTAAAGAACTCAAATAATAGTTAATATCCAGATGCGTGCGCATTACTCGCACACATAAATCCCTACACAAGCATTTTCAATAATCTAATAATAAAGCACCCATGCTGAGTAGATAATAAAATAAAACAAATAATCTTTCACCTCAGAGAAATCATGAAATCATTCTATCCCACATGCACAAAGAGGAAGCACCATGCTTCCTCCAACTCGAGCAATCATATTTCCAACAATTTTAGGTTTCCTTTCAACACAAACTCGACAAGAAAAGAAATACACCTCCTCGCACAGGTAGACAAACCCGTTCTTTTAAGCAAAAACCATTCTTTGATACTGTCCCGATGATATTGATGCCCACATTCGAGTGATCCGACATCTTCTGCAGCTTTATAATCCTCCCGGCATATACTGCAAGGCTCTTGCTCAGCTTGACCAGCTATCCCATGCACATATTTGTGTTGCTTC